ATCAGCGGGACCCAGGCGGCGGCGAGGGTGAACACCTTGGCTGCCACTCTGCCTTCCACAAGGTCATCTCACACACACACACACGGGGTGCTGGCTTTACCACAAGGAACATCACTGATATTTACCGCATATTACTTCAACTCTTATCCGGTGCCCCTTCCCCCCACCCCCTTCCCTTTCTCCCTCCTCGCGCAGGTGCGCATGTGTGCTTGTATGTATATACTTACTTAAGTATACTTGTATGTATATACTTACCTAAGTATACTTGTATGTATATACTTACCTAAGTATACTTGTATGTATATACTTACCTAAGTATACTTGTATGTATATACTTACCTAAGTATACTTGTATGTATATACTTACCTAAGTATACTTGTATGTATATACTTACCTAAGTATACTTGTATGTATATACTTACCTAAGTATACTTGTATGTATATACTTACCTAGCTGTACCTGTGGTGGTTGAGCTTCTGTTCTTTGGTCCCAACTCTCAATTTCCAATGAACTGGTGTACAAATTCCTGAGGCTATTGAGCTCTAACATATCTACAATTGAAACTGCGTAAGGAGTCTGTCTCCACTACACACTTCTTAGTGTATTCCACATGTTAATTACTGTGACACTGAACAGATATTTATGCTTTCTTTATGGCTCATTTAGGTCCTCCAGTTTCCACCTGTGTCTCTTTGAGGAAGTACCACCCGTCCTAACTACTCTGTCCTTGTGTAGCCTATCAGTTCCCTAAATATTGTGTAGGTGGTAATCATGTCTTCCCTGATCCTGTCTTGTAATACGTGAGGTTTAACTGTTGACCAGACCACACTCTAGAAGGTGAAGGGACGACGACGTTTCGGTCCGTCCTGGACCATTCTCAAGTCGATTGTGAGAATTCTCACAATCGACTTGAGAATGGTCCAGGACGGACCGAAACGTCGTCGTCGCTTCACCTTCTAGTGTGTGGTCTGGTCAACATACTTTAGCCACGTTATTGTGACTCCTCGCCTGCACGTGAGGTTTAATATTTCTGTATCCATCCCCTGTATTCTCCCTCCCCACCTCTCTCTCTCTCTCTCTGTAATTACCCAAGTGTAGTTTCAGGATGAGAGCTTCGCTCGTGGAGTCCCGTCTTCCCAGTACTCTTTGTCGTATAACGCTCCATACGTTGTTACTGTGTACACATATTATCCAGGTCATAATGAAGAGCATGACAATCGTCAGTTCCTTAACTTCCTTAACAGCGTAACATCTTAAGGAAACATGTCCATATGCTTTTGTATTCCTTCTGTTAGATCATTCATAGTCATAATGACAATTACTGGAGCTAGAGCTGAACCCTGTGGTACTCCACAAGGAACATTTCTCCAGTCTGACATATTACCCCTGATTACCGCCCTTATTTTTCTGTCAGAAAATTGTTCATCTATGTCAGAAGTCTTCCAGTCACCTCTCCAGTATATTCCAGTTTCCAGAACAAGCAGGTATGTAGGCCTCTGTCAAAAGCCTTCTTCAGGTCCAGATAAATGCAGTTAACCCAATCATCTCTTTCCTGTAAACTCCAACCCGTTCTCGCGAGAGTTCCCAACGTCAAGACACTGTCGTACTGAAGTGGCCTTATCCTAACCTGCCAGAGAACCCAAAACAGAAAACGGGACAGTATGTCAATTTCACGAGCCGCTACCATTTTTAGTACGACAGTTTTTGGCCTTACGTAAAGTATACATCAAAATGCGACGTTGTATTAGGAGGATGGGTTGGTAAACTCTCTGTGGCCATATCACAGAAACTAACAAGATTTGTTACACAAAGTCTTCCTGCTCCAAACCCATAATTCTGTCAGTCTGTTATTATATCACTTTTCTTCAGGTGTTCTACCCATTTGGCTTAAATTATTTGTTATAGTGTTTTGACTACCACGATTGTTAATGATACAGGTCTATAATTAAGAGGGGTCTCCATGCTACCATTTTTGTAGATTAGAACCTGTAGAATGTCTTTTTATCATATCTGCCAAAAATATAATAAAAAAAACAAGTGAAGTGGGTGCTCTCAACACAGATGCCCATTCCCTTCAGAACCCAAGGTGACAGTCCATCTGGGCCAGCTGCCTTGTATCTACCTAGCTCCCTGAGCATTTTTCCACTTCGTCTCAAGACTATGTACTATAATGTCTCTATGGCTGATCCGGGTACTCGGTTTCCACCTGTGTCTCCTTGTCCGTGATCCCCCTGCGCTTGACAAGTGGTCAAGCACATTTCAAGAGCACTTGCAGGATATCGTAATTAAACGTGAGTCATGGAGATAAGGTGCGAGACATTAGCGATGGCGAGAGGCAGCAGAGCACAACTAGCAATAATCACATCCGACAATTATCTCCATAATCTTATAGGTCGTTACAGCAACATGATGAAGACGACCGAGAAAGACGCGCATACCGTGTTGGAGGGAGTGAAGGTCGGCCTTGATACTTGAGAGTGGCGCCACACACAGATGTCTCGCTCAGGACAACAACTTGATAATACTCCCGAGGGAGACTTGTCGACACTCCCAAGGGAGACGTTGTGTACATTCCCGAAGGAGACATTGTCGACACTCCCGAGGGAGACGTTGTCTACACTCCCCAAGGGCCTGTGTTTATGTGCAGGGTTGTGCAGTGTTTATCTACGCAAAATGGTGGTTATCAGCAATATATGTACAGTATATTGCCACTGGAGTTGGTTCAGTTGAGAGACCAGGACGCTGGTGTAATCAGCAAGAAGTTAATGACTAGACAGCTCAGAATAATATGATAAGAGATCTCGACCATTAAATGTTGGGGAGCAAAAGCCAGTGTCCAGAACACAAACGTTTTACGGAGAGGTGAATGTCCCCGGCACAATTTATGAGTGTTTTATAATCATAAAAAAACTGGGGACATTGCCCTTAGATAAACGCCGTGAATGGTGTGGTGAGAAAGATGAGCAGACCACAAGTTCCAGTGTACAGAGCGCGAGCGATATTGCAAACACATACTGATTAATGCGTTGATTAATGCTCTGAACAAATGATTAGACCACCACACATTACAGCAATGATCTTGGCCCCTCCCCCACCACCCAACACCACCACTACCACCCAACACCACCACCCACCACACAACCCAACACCACCACCCAACACCACCACCCAACACCACCACCCACCACACAACCCAACACCACCACCCAACACCACCACTACAACCCAACACCACCACCCAACACCACCACCACAACCCAACACCACCACCCAACACCACCACCACCACCACCCAACACCACCACCACCACCCAACACCATGGATCCTGTACCCCGGACTAGGTGGTGTGGGGAAGGCGACGCCTGCTGAAAAACACAAGTTTTGGTTGGTGTGCCTCGCCACAGCTGACGGTGACGCCCTTGGCTATTACCTCCCTCTACTCCTCTTCTAAGCCTTCACTCTCAACTTGGAAGTCTTGGAACTATTGGAAGTCTTTATTTTATGTTAACGATCGACGCTCACCGCGTCAACAAGCGGGACATCAATAAACATCATCAGTAAACAATCAACGCTCACAACAAGCCGGACATCAGTAAACAATCTTCCGGAACATGAGAGGAAATGTCAACACTGTGTAGACATGCCGACAGACCACTGGAACATTATCTAACACAGTGCACAGTTACAAACCCATTAAGATTTCAACTTAGATTCAACAGAGCAGAAGTTGTTAAACACATGGGGGCAAAATCTTACTGAAGCGACCATACGAGTCATAAATAATACTCCGCCCAAGTAAAACAGAAACAAGCAACACATAGTGGGCCAGCCAGAGGCTTAGGGCCCACGCAGGAATATCCCTGCAAACAAAAGAAGTAAACAATCAACGTTTACCACGTCATCAAGATGAACATCCTTCTCTCAAGGCGAACCTAACCACAAGGTAGCCCTTATCTCTTAAAACAAATATCTACAAATTTAAGGCAAATGAAAACTGTTTGTAACTAATTATATATATATATATATATATATATATATATATATATATATATATATATATATATATATATATATATATATATATATATATATATATATATATATATATATATATATATACATATATATTCATATATATTCATATATATACATATATATACATCTATACATATATATACATCTATATATATATATATATATATATATATATATATATATATATATATATATATACACACACACATGGCGTGCCGTAAGGCGAGAACAATGTACGTACCATAGGTATAGAACACTATCAATCGTGACACTATACCTTGTGGCTGCAGACTGAATACCTCGTCTACGTTTGTTCATCAATCATGATGCTGCACACCTTTAACACATTCCGTCACGAAAATAAAATAATACGATTAAAGTTGGTTTGATAATTTCTTCCTAGGGTTCCTTATGGCCGACCTTGTGTAAGGCGATGCATCACAAATATTAAGTGTAGAATGCGTGAAAACGGAAGTTAGGTGATTAATAAGTTATAATAGTTTTTAAGACAACAGCAGCCTCGCAGCACCCTCCTGTGACCAGCCGGAACTAACCCTCTGGCCGTGATCTTTGCTTAGAGGCTGACCACTGGCGCAAGATTACGGGATGAGAAATGATCTTAAACTTATGGGAGATCTTATCTTATGGGAGAGAGTGATCTTAAACTTATGGGAGAGAATGATCTTAAACTTATGGGAGATCTTATCTTGTGGGAGAGAGTCGAGAAAAGGAAGCGTAAGTTGTATAATGGGAGAGGCAGCGATGCGCAGTAATAAGGCTGTGATGTGAATGGCGTGACGGCTGAGCATCAACCTGTCAGCAGCAACCTTGGTGCCCTGCAACCATTGGTTTCCACGGTGAAGATGCGTCCTGCCAGGCTCCGCCCCCCTCGTCATCACAGGTATTGCTAGTGGTGGGCGCCCGGAGGAGGCCGTGACGTCACAACTCACCAACGTATAAAAGTTGGCGTCGCCAGAACCTGGGCACCTCCAGCAGTGTGCCACTGAGCCTACAACATAAGGTAAACTTCGTGCTCCCACACAGTGAAGTGCAATAACTGTAAGAGTGTGGGTGTATGGGGGGGCAGTGTAGTGTTTTCTCAACACAGAACCTTACACAGCAAATTATAAATTCAATTACTTTCAAAGTGAACAATTCATTCTTAACTCGAGCAAACACAAGCACCTCGCAGTGCTCTCGTGGCCAGTGGCTCGTGTAATACACGTCTTTAGCAGTATTAAGTTTGTGCTAAAGTATCGGTATTTTGGTGTTAAAGAAATACAGTTTATACTGCATATATCACACTACCCTGCTGCATGGGTAACAGCTTCTCCTCCATATCTACCTACCCAGGCTTTGCACCCTGTCAGGGCGCAACTCCATAGTCTTCCGAGACTGATGGATGCCTACTACTACTATCACACTCAAGAGTACTATTGGCTTATTTGGTCAGTTTTGTTTCACAAACCAGTTTTACTTCTGGCCTCTGGCGTATTCACACGTAAACGGCTATAATTCACTTAACGTATAAATTTTAGACAATCACTTCTTTATGAAAGCTATACATGTACTTACGATAACCAATGGTAATGTACATAAAGACGATAGTAACAGATTTTAGGGATGGTTCTGTGTATGTGATAATAAGAGAACATATACTTAGTAACACCAAAGAAAATGTTCACGGAAATCTTGCCGAATAATATCTTGCATAGAGTATATGAAATATAAATAGCTCGTTAATTAGTATATTTCAGTATACTTACTGAATTACTTATTCGGTATAAATTGTCAAGAAAGGTAACAGATAATAGAACGTGAACAAAGCAGGACTTGGAAATAAGAAGTATTGTTTCTACGGTATTTAAGTAAGACACTAAAAAAAGGTTACAAAGTATGACATCAAATTAAACAAAACAATTTGCAGCAGTGAAACATAAGTTACGAGACAAACACGAGAAGAAAGATTTAGTTGTAACATTTTGTTAATCAAACAGCCAAGATAAAAACTGACCTTCCTCAGCTAAATAAAAGGAAAAACAGGCTATTAATGTTAGGTAGCGAAGAAGTTTATTTTGGAAGAGGATAAATCTAATTTGGAAGTCGATTTTGAAGGTGGTAAGTCGATTTTGGAAGATGGTAAGCTTATATAATAAGATGCTGATAAGATGTTATAATGTAGAAGTGTGACTACAGGGATGTGTTGACCAGACCACACACTAGAAGGTGAAGGGACGACGACGACGTTTCGGTCCATCCTGGACCATTCTGAAGTTGATTGAGAATGGTCCAGGACGGACCGAAACGTCGTCGTCCCTTCACCTTCTAGTGTGTGGTGTCATCAACATACTTTAGCCACGTTATTGTGACTCATCACTACAGAGATGTGTGCGCGTGTGGTAATCTTCCTGAGCCTGGCGGCCACAGCTGTCTTAACTCTGCCTCAAAACTACGGAGGCGGCAAACAGCTCCAGCCAGTACAGCAGCAGCAGCAGCAGTATGCACCCAGGAATGTAAGACCACTCATTATAACTTATGGTTTCCCACATTCTTATACTCAAAATCTCATGTTTTAACTCTTACTGACACAGCGGCGATCTTTATCCTGCATCTACTTGTATATTTGAGCTACTGTGTATGTGGCAGCAGCAGAGGAATGTTGAGCGCTTACAATTTTACTGACTCGTTTTTTGTTATGATGCAGTACGACTTCCAATGGGAGGTGAACGACCAGGAATACAGAAACTACTACGGACAACAAGAGAGTGCCAAGAACGACCGTGTTGAAGGCTCCTACCATGTGTTGCTCCCGGATAACCGCCTCATGAAAGTCACTTACTATGTCGATGGCAAGTCCGGCTTCGTCCCCACCATCACTTATGAACCGAACTACAATCCCACTTGGGGTACTGCTTACTACGGCGGCAGGTAGACGGTCCCCACTGCTTCCCATCCCTCTTAGAAGGCGAGTTAAGTATGACAGCCATACTTAATTCGCAGGTTCTCCAGTTCCTCGACGACCCTTCTGACAACAACATTCCTCCTAGTGGCAGTAGCGCAGTCCAAGCAGCAACGACCAGACCACACCCTCCTAACACAGATACCTTCCTAACAATGGTCACCTTCTTCTAGAGACCACCTCTCCCTAATGAGCGATGATCCTCGTGCATAGCATCTCTCCTGCAGTGTGTGGTCTCGGTGCCGCGCCCCCCGCGAGTGCCTGAGCGACGCGGCGGTGCGGCTCGACCACTAGCGGCTATAACCCTTCTGCGACTATGATGGCTTTTTACTAGGACAATTTTCTCAACAGTAAATAAGGTTCCCATAAACCTATCTTTTCTACCGTTTACTTTACCCACAAAATTTGCCAATACTCTTGTCAAGATTAGTGGACAAAAATATGTATTTATAATGATTAGCGCCAGAATACATTAAGATGTGCATTGACCTAAAAATCCCAATAAAGATACTTGTAAATTTATAATAATTTTTCTTTACATCAAAAATAATCTTTGTATATAATGGGAATCCGTGTTTAAAACTGGACAAGTCTTGCAAAATACTATAATTAACACATACATAGTGACAACATATTCTTGACCCTTCAACAATGTTTGTTTTCAAGTCTTAAAGTGAGATTAGCCACGTTCCTGCACCATGGTGACCATGCCCCCCCCCCCATCCCCCGGGTGTTGACCAAGGCTGCTGCAGCACTGTTCACATTAATGCTCTACATCAGGAAAATAATGCAAGAGTTTGTAAAAGTATAAACATTATGGAGCAGTTTATTATTGGTTCTCTCCTGGGAAAATGAGTCAAAGTAACTTCCTTGTTGGAATAATCTGATTCGAAAGGAAAGGTAATATCAGTAACTATCCAAACATTATCTCGTGTTTAACGTATTGGAAGTGTAATTAGAACACGATAGAGCCTGGAGTAATATAATGAGCCTTGAGTAATGAGCCTGGAGTAATATAATGAGCCTGGTGAAATAAGAGAAGCAGTACTGCGAGAAGAACTGCTTTATTAATATTATGTCACCTACCAAAGTTTGTTAGTTTCACGACAAAAAATTGATTGGCTACGTGTAATGCACACAAATGTACAGCAGCTAACTAGTCATTCGCAATAATAACACTAGATAAAATCCATGGTGAAATAATCCACCAAACTGTGAGACTAAATTAACCTCATAATTGTGGGTATGTTGCAAAGACTTGTTATTACGCTGTGTTCTCGTAACAGTCTTCGAAAACATGTACTTCTGTATCTTTCCCCGCTCTTGTTTGCTTTCTTACATTTAAGTCTGAAGTACGTAGGTTCCTTAACTCGGTCACGAGACCCTGACACACACACAACACACGTTTACCAGACACTTACCTTGTGCTGGTGCTTGGTCATGATGACGGCGGTGGCCTGGGTGTCGAACTGGGGTCTCCCAGCACGCCCCATCATCTGCAGCAGCTGTGCTGCCGAGTACTCCTGGTAGCCACCGTTCACGTACTGCGCCGTAGACTTGACCACCACCAGGTGTGCCGGCAGGTTCACCCCCATAGCTGGTGAACATGAACAATATCAGTAAATGTGTACAATGAAATTATGATAACGTAGGGTATCTACGAGGAAATGTGGCAGTTTTTTTTTTCAGGGATATTCCTTCACGGGCCCTAAGCCTCTGGCTGGCCCACTAAGTGTTGCTTGTTTCTGTTTTACTTGGGCGGAATATGAGTATTTATGACTCGTATGGTCGCTTCAGTAAGATTTTGCCATATGTGTTTAACAACTTCTTCTGCTCTGTTGAATCTTAAGTTGAAATCTTAATGGGTTTGTAACTGTGCATTGTGTTAGATAATCTTCCAGTGGTCTGTCGGGCATTTCTCCACAGTGCTGACATTTGATGGGATACTACTCGTGTCTATAGACTGCCAAGATTCACACACTACCAACTCTGCCACGATGAGCTTAAAAGTATCTCAACCTGACGGAGCATAAGGTAGGGAACTTCACTACCAACACCAGAGTGTGGACGGATATCTCGTAAAACAAAATGGATAATGGGTATCAGCTGGTACCTCCCGAACTCCAAAAATGTCTAGCAAAACTTGTGGTTGGGATACATTTAAGCTCATCATGGTAAAGTCGGTAGTGCGTGTGCCTGAATGCTGATCCAGGGTGCCGGTGGTGCTGCCTTAAGGTCAACACGAGAGTATGAGAGAGGGGAGGGGTCAAGAGTAAGGTGCTGACCCAGAGTGCTGGTGGCGACGAGGACGGGCAGCTGGCCAGCCGTGAAGAGCTGCTCCAGGTGGCGGCGGTCGGTGGCGTCCAGCCCCGCATGGTGGTATCCCACTCCACTCAACACACATTCTGAAACCGACATATTCAGTCCAATCCACATACTAATTTAATCTGATGTACAATGTTGAAAACAGATTTATGTTTGATCACATTTATAAGATATTCTTCATTGTTTTAAAAAATTTAATATATACGAGATTGTCTTTAATAAATAAAGTAAAAAATCTAAGATTAACATATTTTGTATTAATTATATTGGAATGGTTACATAGGCGCATAATGGGCACCAATGTCCGCTTAACTAAGTAAGTTTAATCTAAAAATACATAAACTTAATTATTATAAAATAAAATAAAACTTATATTTTTATACTTTTTGGTACAAGAAGCAGTACTAGTACAGCAGTCCCAGCGCCTGGCCTGGTGCCCCCACACACCCAACTGCCCAGTACTAATACACAAGTGTTAAATGGGTGACAAAACTTTCTCCGACATTTAGGTGACATATCTGCGGTACCTCTAAGTTTGTTGTCCCTGAGGGAGTTGCCGACGGAGGTAAGGAGCTGTTTGTGGCTTGCGTCCCTCACCAGTCGGGCCTCCCGCGTCAGCGTGGTTGCCGTCGTCTGCGCCGCCTTTCTCGTCGACACGAACACCTTCACCCACCACCCGGGAGTAACATAATCACAGGTCAGGACGAGGAGAGTTAAAAACTATGAAGACTGCAAGAGACTATAAGGAGATCTATAGCTAGTGATAAATCTCTCGCGTATCCACCAGACAGTTATAATGAGGTGAAGGAGGAATGGGATAGGTAAGAATAAGAGGAGATAGGAAAGGAGGGTACTTTGGCATTGTTGCTGTTGACTCTTCCCTTTTACAGTACATACTCAAATGTTCTCACCTTCCTAACAAACGTGACCTGACATAAACCTACCCCTTTTTCCTTTTTCTTTCTCCTCTTATTCTTACCTATCCCATTTTTCCTTCACCCCATTATTACATCCATTCAGTTCTTCCAGAAACTAGTATCGAGTCTTACCCTTTCACGTATCAAAATACAAACATAGAGTGTCAGTTTTAACCAATAATTGTATATATTTTTAATCCTATATTATATGTTCTTTCTACCGTTCATACGTTATCTCATTCTTCGTGACGTATATTACTGTCGACTGGTGTCCCACAACCACTTAGTTAACAGTTTATTAATATTCCATCTACAAACATAAGAAGCAGAGCACAACATAACAAATAACTGTACAACTAGTTAGTGAATGATATTTACCGCACATACTACAACATAAATTGTTTACCACAAACTATACGGAGTTTGTACAAGCAATACAAAACTGAAGTAAAGGCACCCACCAGGGTGGGTTTGTTATCGCTGTAGGAGGAGATGACGGAGGGGAGGCGGTAGTTGAGGGAGAGGTCGAAGCGGAACTCTGTCCAGGACTCGCGGCAGTCATAACCCAGCACCACTCGTCGAAGCTGCACCGGCCGCAGGCTCTCCTCCAGCCTGCAACATCCCTCAATCTCACACACTCAACTCTAGTATAGTATATGACATTACATAGTACAGTACAGAGGCGATTGGCTAATTGCTTTTATTTCCTGGTAAAGTCGCTACCTTGAAGAATGTCACGGTACCTGTATTATAAAAATTACTTCAGAATTAGTGAGTACCATCAGTGTCGTACCAGAACTTGAATATTATATATATATATATACAGTATGCACAGCCACAGAGCTCTCTGAGAGCATTAACTAGTAAACAAGGTGAGGAGGTTCTGCAGCATGACCTGGAACATGCAGCAGCGGACTCTGCCAACCTGTAGTAAGAGGCGCTACAACATGAAGGACTTACTTGTGAGATACAGCTGGCCCCTGGTCATCAGAGAGCCAGGCGGCCACATCCTCCACGTTGGGGATCGTCGCAGACACAGCAATAAACCTGTAAAACAGTTCAATATTTTCAATAACTATACACATAGATGGTAGCAACTGAATGTGTCCAAATTTAGTAAAGCTTACTCAAATATATAAATTAAAGTTTGTTAAACTAATAGCTGTAAATGGCAATAAAAAAGATTGCATATCACTTAAGATCTTGAAGAGGCGAACCCTTATTTCCTACAGCACATTTCTCATCATAGTCTTGGCGGTGTGTTCCCCTCACATGAAACTGGACAACTGGATAATTATATATTACAAATAAATTATGGATGAAGGAATATCAAATCGAAGAAAGGAGCTAAATATTTTGCAAGTGTCTATAAGGTTCTTGAGGCTATAACTTAAATCATTGACATCCCACAAGATAGATGCTGAAGTTTAAAAACTAAAGTCTACATGTTGTTGAAGGATCTATATTACCTCCAAACATCTTAAGAGCAGTTGCCTATAATACAGCATGGAAGATCATATACTTCAACCAAATACTGCATCACAACAGTGAGAAACACCAAACAAGGTACTGTGAGGGGATGTAATATACAAAGTCCCAGACCTTTGTATAACAGTCCTTTCCTTTCATAATAACATTATGAAAGTCCCACAAATAAACATTATGAAAGTCGTCAGTTGTCAGTTGAGGGAGACACATGTCAGCACGCGTCCGTGAATTAACATCAGTATCCCAGGATATTTAATTGTTATAGAGACCAAAACATAGTACAGTACTTGGTCCCACGCAGTGTACAACAACGCAGTGATCAGCGCATCATAGGAAATTCTTATAAACGTTAGATAAGATAAATAAAATTATCAAGTTCTGTGGCAACACAGTGCCAACAGAGCGTTAGGACCGTTTTTCACACAAAGTGTCTGGAATAGCATAACAGATTGTGAAGTGTTACTAGAGCACCGATAGTGATTGATCTCGCAAAGTGTGGCAATGCGGGGGAAAGTATTCCAGTGACGGGCACTTAGTGGACAAAAACAGAAAAAAAACAGCAGGAACACCACGTGGAAACCTGCAGTACCAGGAGGACCTCCACAACCTCGTCATAAGGACACCAGTCTATTATGTGCCGAGCGGGAAGTGGCTGGTGGGTACCTCTTTTCACTCATCTATCTGGTGCATGGAGCGAATTAAAATAAAAAAAATTATTATATCATATATATTTAAGAACCTTACATGGCTCAGTCAGGGTAGAAAGCTTTGGTAACACCTATTTTCAGGCCGTGCAGGGAAGAAGCGAGAACGCTTAGGTTTCATGATTTGTGCAGAGCATGAAAGAACACTCACGTTATCATGTGATGTGCAGATAATTAGGAGAGAACGCCCAAGTTTCCAAGAGTTGTTCAAGGGAAGGAGTCAGAACACTCACGTTATCATGTGAGGTGCAGATAATTAAGAGAGAACGCCCAAGTTTCCAAGAGATGTGCCAGCATGAGTAAGGAGAAGAAAGGTTAAGAGGTGGCGCGTCACCTGAGGGCCGGGGTGTGGTGGGCGGGAGTGGTGGTGGTGGGTCTGGTGGCGCGGATGGTCTTCATGCGGGAGACGACGGCCTCCAGGGTGGGGCCGCGGGTCTCGTCGTTCAGCAAGTGCACCTGTAAACACCACCACTATAACAACCCATCTTGGTATATACATATTTCCATGCAAAGGTTGCCATATTACGGTAATATTATAGCAAACCAAATTACCGTACGCAATTCTCATTCATGAGGAAGTATGTTGACCAAACCACACATTAGAAAGTGAAGGGATCACAATCGACTTGAGAATGGTCCAGGACGGACCGAAACGTCGTCGTCCCTTCACTTTCTAGTGTGTGGTTTGGTCACAATTTCAGCCACGTTATTGTGACTCCTCGTCTGCATAAGGAAGTATATTTACGAATAACCTTTGACACTTCCAGTTGGTGTTTTATTTGAGTTTTGTGGAGAAACATTTGGTTCGTACTCTAACATTATATTAAGCACCATTATGTACCAAATGTAAACCATTTCATATTCAGAAAACATGAACAACATCTGACTAATTTAATGTAAAAATGACCAAGGCCTATACAAAACAATCACTCAAATGTAACAAAGTTTTGTAATATTACCAAATACTGAAGGACTTAATTTTACAATGGTTAATTAGACCATATTTACACAGCAGCAGCAGCACAAAATGAAAAGTTATGAAGACTGCTCAACTTAATAAACGAGAATGATTGTCAATTATTGATTTGCTTTCATTAATAACTTAATAATTGGTTTTGTTGGGTACAGGCAGTTGTTGTTGTTATTGTTTAATAAGATTCAGCTACTGGGAACAAAAGGTTCCAAGTAGCACGGGCTATGGTGAGCCCGTGATGGACTTATCTGGCACAGGAGCGGGGCTGTAACTAGGGGGTACAGGCAGCCTGTGTATATTTATATACGTTAGGCTTATATCGAGGCCCCCCCCCCCCCGGGTTCAAACTACTGACCCTTCTCCAGGAAGCAACCTCGTTACTGCTAAGTGAACAGAGGCATTAGGTAAAATGAAACGTACCCACCTCTTTTTGTCACGATTGGGATTCGAACCCATTTCGAAGACTGAGAATCGAAAATGAGCCCAACTCTACTACTGAGACCCCTCATTTAACATTGATACTTGAAAATACTGAAATAAAAGTACTGTACCAGTGTTTATGTCAAACCAGATCAAAATATCACTCTAATGATAGACTAGTGAATTAAACATTAAAGATTGTTTAAATGTTTAACCAACGGAAGGTTTAGGTATATACCTTGTCTATTGTTTACTAGCACCAAACAACAGGAAGATCACTAACAAACTAGGACACACGAACAGACAGAGCGGTCACTAACAAACTAGGACACACGAACAGACAGAGCGGTCACTAACAAACTAGGACACACGAACAGACAGAGCGGTCACTAACAAACTAGGACACACGAACAGACAGAGCGGTCACTAACAAACTAGGACACACGAACATAAACAGTGTAGTCACTAACAACGTAAGATACAGGAACAAAGACAAAATGCTCGGTAACACACTAGGAAGCAAACATAGAGAGAGTGAGAACGTAGAGGTCACTATAAGAGCCTAAGCGACACACTGATAAAGTGGTTGTAAAAGGGGTTAGGTTATGTTATGAAAGCAGGCACTAGCCTCATCAATGAGGAGTAGGGAGACGGCTTGCATGAGGGCGGCGTGGTCTCTCCAGCGGCGGGTGAGGGAGTCCCACTTCTCTGGCGTCGTCAGCACCACCTGTTTATAAACATTATATCTCATTAACTATTCCTCCAAGACGAACGATGTTGTCCCTGTCAGAATGAAATAATCAACTAAATATTGATATATTATAGTACTCTGGCAAATCTCCTCATGTGTGTTTGTGGCGCAGCTGCAGCAGCGCCGCCCCTAGTGACACCCACCTGAGAGTTCCTGATGACGGAGATGTCGTCGTGGTCGGTGTCGCCGGTGACCTCAGCACACGTCAAGCCAAGAGGAGCCAACCTCTCCCGCCAGTCCGTGTACCGCTCCGTCACCACCGCCTTCATCGGGGCCACTGTAACGCACACACCAAACCTTTAATTGATGACTGATTGATTGATGAAGATTAAGCCTCCCAAAAGGTGGCACGGGCATGAATAGCCCGTAAGTGGTGGCCCATTTGAGCCATTAATAGTATCAATAGATGATACTGGAGATCTGTGGAGGTGCGACTGCACCCTGCGTGACGGGAGATGTCTCCCCCGTGCAAACCTTTCACAGTACCTCTCGTCCTTCAATTACCTCTACAGTGTTTACCTCTTGACCGTTGCCTCTAGTGTGTGCCTCCTGACCATTACCTCTAGTGTCTACCTCCTGACCATTACCACTAGCCATCACTTCTGCAGTGTTAGCCCCCTAACCAATACTCACCTAGCAGTAGAGTAGAACAAGTACTCAATAGCAGTAGAGGGAACATAGAGCCTCTGTGCCTTGTAAAGGCTTACGCAAATATCCCAGATCTTAACTGTTTTTTTGAGTTCATTTTTGTTTCTTTTGAGACGTTTGGGTTTGTGGTCTATTAAAATGTGTTGTTGTTGTTGATTTAGGCGCGACGACGGTCGGGTCTATTCAAATGTGCATAGGATGAATAAAATTATGGGTATTCTTATCTCGGTATGACTCTCGCAGTAACAGTTGATACCTGGTTGATGGGGTTCTGGGAGTTCTTCTACTCCCCAAGCCCGGCCCGAGGCCAGACTTGACTTGTGAGAGTTTGGTCCACCAGGCTGTTGCTTGGAGCGGCCCACAGGCCCACATTCCCACCAGTTGGCTTCATTCCCGACTCACAATACTGGAGTTCAGGCGGGACATAAAACGGTTAGATACGTTTCCTTTCACCTAATGTCTCTGTTCACCTAGCAGTAAATAGGTACCTGGGAGTTGCATCCTGGGGAGGGTTAGTAATTCGACCCCAGGGGAACCTAGATACACAGACTTCCTGTCACCGACAAAACGTCGATAAAATCTTCAGCTAGACCATGGCGATGCTTCGATCTTCTTCAATCCTTCGATCCGCTTCCTCGTCAAGACCACTAGATAGTGGCCCTTAGGTAAATTAAGGTAAAACGAATTAAAATTGTCGGCATCAAATCATGTAAATTTAACAAAAGAAAACGGACAAAATAATGAACGGAAAATATCTACAGAAAACGAAAATATCAATGTTGAAGAAGGGGATTCTCATTTATATTCAATCAAGCCGGTTAGAATCATACTGACGGGACTGTTATATGTAAAGCTCTAATTATCACCTATCAGGATCTGATTAATTTAGTGTTACATTCCTATAGGAAGAGTTTCAGTGAGCTGGCTGGCGCTGCGGAGTATACGACTCTCTTGGATGGTAACAGAGCTCGAATCCACCAAAGTTGAAACGCCAGCAGGTAAAGGATCCTAAATAGTGGAACAGCCTTTCGAATACAATATAATGTTGTACGACTTTTAACCACCAATTTACAAAATTAAGTACCTAAATTATGGATTGATTGCATGATGTTTAGTCACAAACATTGAGTCATTATGGATTTAACGATTAATTTAATTGTTTTTAACGTGAATTTTCATTTATTTCTTTAGTTTATGAATTACTCTTAACACATAACAAACAAACATTTATTTGTGAGACATAATGATATTATTAAAATGACTTGAAATACAAATGATTGATTGTATATGAAATAAATACTGTATATCCTAATATGCGACATAATAACAAAAACTGATGTAAAGTTGGCCTACATATCAGTATATATATAAGATCAAATGGGCTATTTTATTACATATTTTTGCGATTAAATGGTTCATTATGGCAAAGCCACTAAGGTAACGACGCCAAGCACATAAGACCAGTAAAGAGAGTAAAATATGGAAAACATATATAAAAAAATAAGATTTCTCACAACTAGAAAGAAATTAAAAAAAAATGAGGAAAGCAAAATGTAACTGTGAAGTTCTGATGGCAACAAGAGAAGCCCCAAATGATTCTTCCCGAGGCATCAAACCTAAGGTTAAAGAGAGGTCGACTGGTACACTAAAAGCAGCTAGGCCATCTAACAGATAATGAAGAAGGAATGAATGGTATTTTAAATGGTTATTTTATCTCGGTTTTAATATCACAGCTTTCCTAAAATTCCACAAACTTATAGAGGGATTAATAAAGACAACACATAATCTAATAACTAATAAAGACATTTGTAAGTATATAGACAAATTAAAGCCAAACAAGTGTCCTAGGCCCTGAGAAGGTCCTCGCCATGCTCTTCAAAGAATGTAAAGAAGAGAAAATGAGTTCAATATTAATTTAAGCATGTTCAATACATCATTAAAGTTGGCAGTTCAATATATCATTAAAGTTGGCAGTTCAATAATTGTGAAGGGTTGCGAATAGAATCCCAGTTTTAGATGACGATAGATCACTGGTCTGACTATCGTCCAATTAGTTTAGTATAAATTGTTCTCAAATTACCCTAAGCGATAATTACAAATACCATTGGTATTATCAATTAAATCAGTACATGAACCAGTACTTAATACATGATCATAGCCTAACAAAAGAATGATTGCATCTCACAAATTCCGTTCATTATTCTCAAACAGTGCCAATGGCATGGAGCAATCACAGGGATACACTGGTCCCTGGCTAGGGACCTGAATAAACATTAAATATTTCATTCAAAGGCAAGAGGCCAAGGATCGACGCGAGCACTCAACAAAAATCGCTCGACATATGACAAAGCAGAATACGTACGAGCTAAAGAAATAATATATTGTAAAGAACATTATGACAAAGAATGAAAATAAAAGAATTGTGCTTGAAAATATGGGAGGATTCTTACGGTAGACGACTCTGGCGTGTTGGAGAGAGTGCAGGGCGGGAAGCTGCTGCTGCTGTTGCTGCTGCTGCTGCTGTTGTTGTCGTGAGAGCAGGAGCCTCACCAGCGCCAGCTCCATCACTACAGTTTTACCAGACCCCGTCGGTGCCGACACCACCAATGACCGCTCTGTTAGTTATACAAAAACAACAAATTAACTTGTATATTGTTGACATAAAAGCAAGCAACAAAGTAAAATTGAAAATTTCTCACATATCATGTTATAAACAACTTGGCCTCAACACTTCTAACTGAACCATTTGTCATACTTCTTGCACTCAAATGTGTACGTCTCCTAACTTGACACATTATTTGACAATTATTATTTATCATGCTTAATTGCGCTCAGTTCTTTTAAAACACAAACTGCAACATATTCGTGGCTGAAGCTAGACACACACATACAAAATAATTAATGATAGTAACAGAGTCCACTCCAAATGGATTGCATCATATGTTGGCCTCCGAATGCATGATGGAGCTAATGAGTTAGTCAAAGAATTTGCCTTTAAAAAGAGTTGATTATAGCCTTGGATTGCGTATAAGCAACCCGAGAACAATAATATACTAAGAACTTCAACAAAACCTTGTAGATCTGAGGCAAAGTGAAATCTACACCAGCAATTCCATCTATTATCGTACTATTATGCAAGAAGAGCCCCACATCTATGGGTCATCAAATAAAATCAGCAGACTCCTAGATGTTACTACTGTAACACCATAAATAGGCCTGCTCGGCTCAGACTCTGTTATAAGTATCTCTTGGGAATTTACATTACCTGCTGATGAAGACCTAACCAATTGTAAACTGTATCAACAAAATTAATCGTATATCCTTCGTCACTATGTGATGGAGTGCGAAAAGATACATAATTCTGAGACGCCTCTACAACAAATGTTCAAGAATATTTCATTCAGAATTATCTACTACCATAGATTTTAGCGAAATATTGCATGTGATTGTAACGCCCACTGGTATTGTGTGCATGATAAGTAAATCAAATTATGAAACTACCACACCACTCATTTAAGTTGCTTGGCTTAAATGGTTGTACATGTGGTCGTTCTCGAACTGTGTAACTAGCTTATCGTGACAGTAACATGCTTAGCTAAATGGATTTTGGGGTCACTACCATTGTCACCATTATCACTACCGCCCACAGGATGTGTATGGAGTAAATAATAAATGAACTAACTAAAACTACGATAAAAAAGTGTCCATTGCATACAGAGGAACCCTTAATCTGGCTCTGCATCGCAAAACTTTTAAAAACAAACCCAATAATAAATTTTCAGACGATAGTATCATTATCCTAGGATAAAACTTGGTGGTAACCCAACCTTCAGAAGCCACAAGTACAAAGTCATTGTACACAAGAAACATCTTCACAAGAGGGGGGTCTGAAACTCCCATCACCACCAAAGACAATGGAATTTACTCTGGTGGTCTGTGGTTCGAGGCTGTTATGGCCCGAGTGAATTAAACATATAAGCGGTTTAAATTATAGGTAATTTGTTATCGGTAGTAGCTAAACATCTATCGTTCCCAACGACTACCAGGGCGGTAAAAATTCAAGTACAATTTTTTTACTCAAGTAATTAAATTACCCCAAATAATTTGCTTCTGAGAGATCAGGGGCCAGATTCACGAAAGCACTTAAGCAAACACTTACGAACTTGTACATCTTTTCTTAATCTTTGGCGGTTTTGTTTACAACTATTAAACAGTTAATGAGCTCCGAAGCATCATGAGGCTGTTTATAACAAAAACAACAGAGGAATGGGAAGTTTTCATGCTTGTAAACTGTTTAATAAATGTAACCAAAGCCGTCAAAGATTGAGGAAAGATGTACACGTTCGTAAGTGCTTGCGTAAGTTCTTTCGTGAATCTGGCCCCAGAAATGTGCGAATGACTTCTGCAGCAGCGACTGCTAAGGTCATAGGATGCAACACTAATAACAATACAAATTAAAATCAATTTAGGAAATGTTGCAAAACAAGCTAAAAAAATTAGTGCAACAGTTATTTATATCAACATTTTTACAAGTATTATGTTTATGTCTACAAATACTGACATATTTCATGAAGATTTTGAGGAAAACTCAGATAAGCATTTGCGTAAACATTTACGGATAAAAATGCATTTATAATTCAGTTCCTCTTTTTATTATTATGTCTGATAAATATTCTAATTATCACCTGAGTTAAAGACGTCCTGGAACACTGTTGACTGGACAATGTTGAAGTAGGGGAACTGGGAGAAGAGTGAACGATACTGCTCCGCTGTCACCAGTCAAGGATATCAAACCTAGATATCTAGATATTCCCTAGTTCTAGTCCAACCCTAGTTCTAGATATTCTCATTTCCCCCTCTCTCTCCTATCTTTCGTCTACCACTGTCATATTTCCCGTATCATTCACACCCCTTTCACGATTCTCTGTTCTCTGACTTACTATTTCTGTCATTCCTCTTATACACTCTACTTCCTTGTTAAAGATATACAAAAGGATACGGATATCAGAGACAGGCCGCAACATCCCAGTCGAGGTCTTATGAACTGCTGGTGAAGGGTCTCCAGACTCACTGTAAAGGGTTGATGACATATTGTTACTGACATCAGATTGAACACAGTTTGTCTATACTTTAACGTTAAATTAAATAATGTTTAAAGTTGGAATGTGTACATACAAAATTGTCCATATGTCTTAATAAATATATTTAACTCAAATATGCATGTATATCATTCAGCCCTTCGTTTTAAAATTAAATTATTTACTGTAACTATTTGGTCGAAATTACCAATATGTAGTAACGAATCACTAGAAAGTTGCTTTTTGTATTTATGTATTTGTACAAACCTGAAGCTTTTTAATCAAAACATAAATATAAGACTTAACATAAGCTAACATCTCATAGCAATCCTAGACTAATACACGCTATCTTAGGCATAATATTGTACATATATGTGCTGTACTAGGCTTAGGAATATTAAAGTTCAGTTTTAGCTTTATTTTTTCCGGACTCTAATTTAACAGTACAAAAAGTAGTACATATTGGTACTTTCTACCAAATAGTTACTATAGGTACTATCATTTCAGGAGGATGGGGGTTGATATCATCAAGAAATACATTAGAGTAACACCCCACCGCTTCTTACAATCAAGTCCAAAATACTTCTAGTGAATATTGAGAATATAACAAACCATATCATCAAATTCGCAGATGGCACTAAGATTTATGGTAAAGTACGCAGTGAAAATAATAATGAGGCTTTAAAAAGAGGTCTACAAGAACTCCACAAATGGCCGGAAGACTAACAAATGCTTTTTTAATGTTGAAAAATGCAAGACCTTGCACGTTAAGCTTAATAATGCACATCACAACCTCCAAATTAACATTCCTTTGCAACAGATTTATGAAGAGGCCCTTGGAATCAGAATCCATAATTTAAAAAAAAATAATTAGGACTGAACCTTAAACTTCAAGGAAAAGTAGGTATATTTTTTAAGCTATATAAATCTCTAGTGCACTTGGATTATTGTATCCCAGCATGGAGATCTCATCATCAGAAAGACATAGTTGCTTTGGAGAAAGTTCAACACACAGCAAGAAAAATCATTCCAGAACTAAATCGACTTTCATATTAGAAGCGGTTGAGGGCCACAGGCCTAACAACACTGCATACCAAACATGATTACGGGTTCACTATAGCCAGTGCTACATGGAAATTTTGTTCAGAGTAGCTGAATTTAACACAACAATTACACATGACATGACAGGGCTGATCTTATGGAAACATTTAAAATACGGAACAATTTGGAGGTTATTGATTCAGACAACTTTATAAGGTCAGATGTAACACAAACAAGGTCAACAAGCCACACTGTAACACTGACAATAACGTACCTGAAAAATGTTGACCAAACCACACACTAGAAAATGAAGACGACGACATTCCTCTCCTCATCTTACCTTCACTCACATACACTCTTACTCACGTGATCATCCATTTGTTCAATATGACCAACCAACAATATTGACTCGATAGAGAACCCGGGCAAGTTCATCATGATACAGCCTATTATATAATTTTAAATGTAATCACCATATAATAAAAACTATTTCTTTATTAAAAATGTTAAGATGATTCCGTGAACCAGAGCTAAAAACTGGTGAGATTTAGCTATAATAATAATAGTTCCATCAAACCTGCTTGAATACGGCGCATGTTCCGAGTAGTAACTTTGTGTTTGGCGAAGGTTATGCTTGGTGACTTGGTTATTTTGGAGCCGTTGACTTTGTTGATGATGCCACGGGTCCCGGTGGCTAACATGACGGCCCTCGCCGTGTCCATGATTCAGCCGAGGCTCCAGCTGGAGACCCTCAGGATGCCAGGTCGAGGACGCGTCCTCCCATACCTGCGCCACACACAGTGGCAGAGACATCAACAATACATTCAAGGACAGATTATGCGGGTGCACATACAGTAGTATCCTACTAACAACTTTCACGGCGGTCCGAAGGCACAACGGGATTAAACTTTTTATTATTAGTATTATTATTGTTAACACATTTAGGTACATTTGCATTTGTGCAGTTGCTCTAGACTATATGAAGGGGAGTACAGCGTGTCAAAAAACTAGCTACGTGATGCTAAACACACACATACACACGTTTTCCTTCATTCATGTAAAGCAAGACACAACAGGCAGACTGCATGATGAATGTAAATGTCTTGTTATATGTCTTGTTATATGATATTGTTGTTATAACTTAATCTAATTGCAAAAGCAACAGTTTCTTTAACATGATAAATATGCTTGACTCATTATTTTACGCACATCAGGTCAAATTACTAGTGTTGTACATGTAATATTTTATATACAACTGTTATATCCTATGCTATTGTGCATTTTTTTGCTTTATCAAATTACTTATGTTGCCGTATATTATGAAGTATAAAAAGTAATGATTGAAATGGAAAACCAGATTTCCGCCAGCTAGTGAATAGGCTGCTCAAAGATAATGGTTATCGATATTCATTTAATATTAAAAAACATACTCGTACGCCGAGTATCGTTATCAATACTTATACACCGAGTATCGCTCATGCATTGAATAGTTATCGATGCTCATACATTAAGTACTGTTATCGATATTCATAGTGAGTATCATTATCGATACCCATACACTATCATACTATCATTATCCTATCATACTATCATTATCGATGCACATATACTATCATACTACCAATATCGAAACCCATACACTATCATACTACCATTATCGATACCCATACACTATCATACTACCATTATCGATACCCATACACTACCATACTATCATTATCGATACCCATACACTACCATACTATCATTATCGATACCCATACACTACCATACTATCATTATCGATTCCCATACACTACCATACTATCATTATCGATACCCATACACTACCATACTATCATTATCGATTCCCATACACTATCATACTATCATTATCGATACCCATACACTATCATACTATCATTATCGATACCCATACACTATCATACTATCATTATCGATACCCATACACTATCATACTATCCTTATCAATACCCATACACTATCATACTATCCTTATCAATACCCATACACTATCAAACTATCATTATGATAGTATGAAAGCAATATTTAGTAATATAAATATTATATTATTTATATTGATAGTATGATAGTAATATAAATAATATTTTCTCGTGCATTGTACCTGTATCTACTTGTCATATATTATCGATATGAAGTTAGGAAAACTCGTCTGATGATGTTAGTCAGATATAGGAACAACACATAGCCATGACAACTGCTAATACCATCCTACTACCTGGACTTAATTTAATTTCTGAATGTGAGAAACGCAATTAAGCTGGCGAAAATCAACAGTAGTGGTTTTTCTTTTTTTTTACAATTTCCTAGTGGTTATTTGTTCGTATGCAAAAACATTATCCCCATAAAATAAATATAGCCAGGTGCTTTTTTTTTATCTTTATATAACTGCATTGTTTACTTGAGGCTAATATATACAAAAAAGACGTATGAGCACTTATTGCTTATAACACAGAATCTTATAACCTTATAACACAGAACATATTAAACAAAAGAAAAGTTAGTTTAATCTCTACAAACATACTGCAATCTGGAAAGTAGTCTCCATGGATACAATAAAATCACAATAACAGTCTGATTTGAGAGGACAGCTGGAAAGACCAGATCTGACGAAAAAAAATAGACTGATCTTAGAATGCAACAGGAAAGACCACAGACTGACATAGAAGGGCAGCTAGGAAACACAAAGATCTGAGTGGAAATACTGTCTTGAGAGAGCAACTAAGAAGGTCATACTGATCTGGGAGGGCAACGAGAAGAATAAGTAACCCGAGGGGGCAGTAAGAATAAAGACTGACCTAAGAATACAGCAAGAAGGACACAAGCAGGTGAGGACATAGATTTATCTAAAAGGACACATTAGCGAGGACTCAAAATGACATGAGATGGCAGTTAAGGGCATAGACAAATCTTATATGACAGATAAACAAAATTGTCCCACTGAACAATGGCCCACTGAGAACGGTAAATATTGTCCCAAGAGGTCAGCTGGGAAGGGCACAGACTAACCTGAGAGGCAACCTGAGAGGGGAGCTGAGACAGGTCGCCGTCGTCAGGAGGTGGAGCCACTTCGAAGGGAACCTTCCAGTTGCTGTCACTACATTTACACAAGACCACAAGGTAAACATTATGTAAAACTTGCTTATCATTAGATTTTGCAATTGCAATTAAATAAATTAATGATAACACATTGTGTTATACAGTAAATTTTTTTTCTTACACAGGTGGGTACAGGAACAGACGACTGCTGACCCCCCTATTACATGTAGCACAATATTATAAATATTAGCAACAATAAATACTGGATTATAAATATATATAGTAGTACTGTAATAATAGTAATACAAATATGGTATGCAACTCTAAATATAAATGTATGTCAGCTAATAAAAACACTGTACAAACGTTTACAGATATAAAAAATACAGCAGTTTTATATTTACAGTTACAAATATTATTAGGCAATTAAACTATATAAATACACATGGAAATATTGACATAGGCTATAGCACAACAGTAGAATGAAAAGTGTTAGAGAGAATATTAATTGGATATTTTCAAGTTGACTTATCAATTTGATAAATCAACAATAACAATTTGATTTATTTATCTGATAGAATAATATATAGTCTAACATAAGCAGCACAAGCAGTTTTTTTAGATAAAACATTTCATATTTTTCTTTAATTTGTTGATATTTGCAGTCTTTTGTTTCAAGTGGGAAATTATTCCTTATTTTAGGCCATTTTTTATTTAGTTTTTATATAGATTTAACTTTACCTGAGGTGCGCCAGGTATTTGTTATGTTCAAGGGCACATGAACAGGCTTCAAGGAAATTTCTTCGGTTTGTTTGAGTTTGAGTTAGGATTTGGTAGAAGCAGACTGCACATAAAATGTATAATTGTATTAAACATTGATAGGATTTGAATATAGACAATTCTTGAGAAATAATGTCTGAGATTGTTACGAATTTCTAATTCCCTGGTATGTATCCGGAGACAATTGGATAATATCAGTAGCCTAACCACCGCCCCACAGTTAAAAGATTCATCTTGTCCATATATTCGAATGGTTCCTGTGTCCCTCCACCCTTTCCCTTCCCAAAATTCTGTGTTCTTTTAACTTGATCTCATTATTAGTCAAAGAGTTTCTCGATACTGGGTCTACAGGGGGGGGGCTATATCATGATAACATTTTCTCTCCCCCACTTACCTTGAGGTTACCTTGAGGTGCTTCCGGGGCTTATCGTCCCCGCGGCCCGGTCGTCGACCAGGCCTCCTGGTTGCTGGACAGATCAACCAAGCTGTTGGACGCGGCTGCTCGCAGCCTGACGTATGAGTCACAGCCTGGTTGATTAGGTATCCTTTGGAGGTGCTTATCCAGTTCTCTCTTGAACACTGTGAGGGGTCGGCCAGTTATGCCCCTTATGTGTAGTGGAAGCGTGTTGAACAGTCTCGGGCCTCTGATGTTGATAGAGTTCTCTCTCAGAGTACCAGTTGCACCTCTGCTCTTCAACGGTGGTATTCTGCACATCCTGCCATGCCTTCTGGTCTCATGTGACGTTATTTTCTAGTTTTGTTACCCTAGCCAAAGGTAAGGTAAGGTAATTATCAGGAGGTGCCTGTGTTCACCTAACAGTAAAATGGGTACCTGGTTGTTAAACAATTTGACGGGTCGTTTTCCAGGGAAAATTAGGATTAAGGACCTGCCCGAAACGCTAAGCGTGCTGGTGGCTGTACAAGAATGTAAGCACTCTTGTATACATATATAAATTAAAAATATATATATTTTTTGGCGTCGATCTTCTTAAATCTGGTCTACCCACCACCTAGGAACACGCACCCCCCCCCCCTCTATATGGTGTGGAATTGAGCCCAAGAAACAGGGTAGTTTAGTTCACTTATTATGCACCCCATACCCACCTTGTGGGCTGTAGTGGGAAATGGACAAGAGAATGTTATTAGCAGGACAGCCACACTCACATCCTTAGCGACGCCATATTCCTCGAGTGCACGCCACAGAGAAGAGCAGAGCAGAGCAGAGAAGTAACAGGTGGCAGCAGACGGCTCTGGAGGGTGTGGCAGCAGACCGGCCTGGAGGCAGACCTGCCACAGCTGGCGGCCACGCTGCCCTCTTATTTAACAACCAAAAACACATCGCACTAATACAGTAATACTTGGCAGACACTACTCGAGCTACCACTCATTTCTGCCAGCCATTTACTACCAATAAGTTTATATTTGATAATTTTCGACAATATTCCAAGGTATAATTCATATTTCTGAAGATGTTAGTGGTATGAGGACAGGAGCGGGACAGTGTTCCAGTGATGAAGTGTTGCCAGATTGGGCTAAAAGTAGCGAATTTGGGCTACTTTTGAAAGCTCTTAATTTAATGTTCCTAAATGTCTAATTTCGCTACTTGCTACTTTTTGGGCTGATTTTAAAATTGTTATACTAATTTGGACTACTAATGTTTAAGAACGGCAATGATTATTGATGCATCTATAATGTAATGTGTGTTTATTTGAGAAAATGTTAATTATCAGGCCTTTTATTGGTTGTTAATTAACAAATATATAAGATAGAATAAAATGCATATATTTTGATCAATGTTTTTATTATTTAACTTTTGTATTTATCAAAGTTAATATTTCTTCTTTGTACACAGATGGTTGCAGGGAAGTCGGTTCGTGTGTGACAAAGGTATTCAGGCTAAACGCAGCAAGAGACCACCACGTCCTGTCTCCCCCTTCAGCAGCGGTCAGCCACCGTTGATATCCTGTAAGCAATATCCACAGTTTAATCTTTAAGAAAAACTTAAATCACAGGCATTCAAAACATCGAATCGCCAACCAACTGATCATTGTTCGAATTGCATTGTCGTTACAGTCGTGCACCTCTTTGTAAAATGTATTTTCAAGACAATGTCGTCTTGCTTTCCTAAAGTCTCTTGAGGTCATCTGTCCATCGATAGAATCCTTGGTGAAGGCGATGCCTTTGATGTCGCTGGCCTTGTGTGCTTTTGTTCTCATATTGGCGTACTACGTGATGTTTAGAGAGTCTTAAGAATACCTAGCGACATTGATGGTATACCCCGGCATGGTGGTAGCTTTTCACAATTACTTACTAACAAGTTCCTCTTATAGTCTTTATAGTTATTACTCCTCTCTTACCAAAACACAAGTAGTTAGAATGGATAAATCAAAACGTATAAATTTTCCAAATAAATCTTTTACTTGCAAGACATAAAATGTATTACAAAATAACAATAAAATATAAAAACTCCCTACAAGAAGTCATTAGGCTATCACTTCACAACCGACGCTAATTTATAATAATATTCTAACACCAATTCTCTCAGTAATGAAATGCAAGATTAATAAATATTAGCAAACTCTATATTACCTTATTACACGAGATCAAAATATTATATTATCCTAACTTTAGGAAGGAATTCTCTATCACTCGTTTATTTAAATGAAAAAAACAATTAAAAGCAAGAATTATGGTAACCTTTGATCGGGCCAATTTGGTTAAAATATTTTAATTATGTATTAAGATACATAGCTTCTAACCTTAAAAAATGTGTCAAAAGCACTTGCACGTTAAACAAAAATCTCCACTTGGTAAATATCCCATAAACTTTATATTAACAAGCTTAGGTATACACAATGTGCTGCTGCTATTCACAATATGCTGCCAAGCAAATTCAGATAGGCTGTTGATCTTCTCACTAGCCTCAACACACGACAACCAATAGCTTTCCTTTGATAATTACTTACATAGTCAACGAGCGATATTAATGGTACAGTGTAATATAGCTGTATTGTGAACCCAAGAAAACTTGTATATCTACTTGTATCATCCTGCAGTTTGGTGACTTGTGGCCGCCCAAGGCAGTCAGAAGAAAGCCATATTTTATAATACATGAAAATAAATGCTTTTTTAAAGTGTCAAATAATTTAAGGGGAACAAAATATAAATGTGTTGATTAATGGTTGAACAGGTTGGGCTCACATCATGAGCAGGAGGATCCCGTCTCATATGGCGTCTCCGGCATGGCTTGAAACAGGATTTGTGTGAAACGATACAATCTTCCTGAAAAAGAGACGACATCACATATCATAAACCATATATGTTATATGTATAATTAGACCATCATAAAGGTAAGTTATTTATGAAAGGGAAAATGCTGTCGGTATATCTTGAGGTTATCTTGAGATGATTTCGGGGCTTTAGTGTCCCCGCGGCCCGGTCCTCGACCAGGCCTCCACCCCCACGAAGCAGCCTGTGACAGCTGACTAACACCCAGGTACCTATTTACTGCTAGGTAACAGGGGCATTCAGGGTGAAAGAAACTTTGCCCATTTGTTTCTGCCTCGTGCGGGAATCGAACCCGCGCCACAGAATTACGAGTCCTGCAATCATATATAGATGATTTATAAAAATGAATATAGATGATTTATAAAATCCTGTAAATTCTAACCAGATGTAATAATTTGTAAGCTTTTCAGCTGTCGAATGGAACTAAATAAATGACTATCATTTAGAATTAATTATATACAAAAATGAGTACAGTTTAGACTAGGCTTCCTGAGGTGATGAATGACTTTAGGCTAAGCTACCTTCTGTTAAGAGTATCAGAAGCAGACACTAAGATGGGAAAACCATGTAGCGCTCGATTTAAAGATAGAAAACTGGACTGGAAATGGGTTAAAAGATGGGAAACTACTGTAAATCTTGGATACCCACCAGAGATTTCGTCGAGCCTCCTGGAGTGGCCTGTGTGGGAGGCGAGGAGGAAGAAGACCAGGATCCCACTGGCGATGACGGCGAGCGCCACCCCAACCGTCACAGGCTCCTCCACCGCCGGCAGCGTCACCAGCACCACCATCACCAACAGGTACACCACCGGCAGCACCACCCACACCTGGCAAACATCACCAAGAGGGTGACCAACAGCTATACCACCAGCACCGTCCCCACCCACACACCAGGCATGATACCCCGGGAGATAGACTCCCGTAACACAGTATTCCTCCCCTCCTCATGGAAAGTAAACTGCCTTCAGCGACCGCTTACCTTAAACGGCCTCTTCCACTCCGGCTTCTTGTACCTGAGCCAGAGGAGGCCGGAGGTGGCGACGATGCGGGAGATGCTCCTGGAGAAGGAGGAGCAGTTGATTAGGGCGTACACGTCCGTCGTCCCCAGCATCACCAACGTCACCATTGTCTCCAGGAGAAAAAAATCATAGTTTCTTAGCACCAAAATCTAGGACAAGTTTTGTCTTAGAACAGGTATATACATGCAGTTTTCCAACGCTCTAAGATAAAATAACTACAAATAATTCCAATGAATTTTTCCGGAAACTAGGAAATCACCATCACTAGTGGCCTGGACGGGGCCAGAACGCCGGCGGCTTGCCAAAAGTTCCTTCATGCATTACCACGGGCAGCAGCAGCAACCTACCATGAAGATAATGGCGGGAGCGGGGGTGTTCCTCTTGATGGTGATGAGCGCGAGGAACTTGGGTAGCTGGCGCTGTCTGGCCCCGACGAACACCAGGCGGGACTGGGTGAAGGTTTGGCCGTTGAGGGAGGCCAGGGCGGAGATGGCCACGGCTACAGGAACAGTGATGGCCAGCACTCCGAAGGCCGCATTCCCGAAGGACTGTGGATGCCGCCGCGAGAAGACATTATGAAAACAAGTTTATGGATTTATTCAGAAAGGAGGACTATTACTAGATTATAGACTAGTAGTCTATAGTCTACTATAGACCACCAAGACTATATTTTATATATACATCGGTATATATAAAATATATACCTATTTATTTTTTTGACTTGAGTATAACTCATAGTTTTACATTTGATAAATATATCAGCCCGTTCTCCACCGTCAAGAAAACGGTTAAATTAAAGTGTCCTCTCCTAACTTATATATGAATGAAAATCATTTTGAGGCAATGAAGTGACTTGGCCTGACAGAAGATCTGGCGATTCTCAGCCGCCCGTCTTAACGGACTAGGTCACGATGCTACAAAAGTCGACCAACTCAGAATTGTACTGAGTTCTCTGAGAGGTTCCGGAGGCCCCAAACTCTCCAGAACCTCATCTTTGGTGAATATCCTGTTTGGGAATGAAAAAAATGGCGGGGGATCTAGCATCACCTAGAAAAACAAACCAAAACTAGAAAAGGTTCACTAGAATTTACTACTAATTACTCTAACTCGTTTTTCTTCAACTACTAGAAAAACTAGAATTTAGAACTTACAGCACGACTCAGTTCTGAGCTGAAGTAATTTAGGTACGATGAAAGACTATGAAGAAAGACTGTGTATAAAGAAAGAATAAGAGACATGATATATAAAGAAAGAATAAGGAACCCGAGCTATGAAGAAAGACTAAGGGGACCCGAGCTATGAAGAAAGACTAAGGGGACCCGAGCTATGAACAAAGACTGAGGGACCCGAGCTATAAAGAAAGACTGATGGAACTGAGCTATGAAGAGAGACTGAGAGAACTACAGCTCGCCACGCTCTAGGAAAGGAATGGGGTTGAGAGACAACGACACAAAGAGTCAAAAAGGGGCGAAATGATTCCATAAACAGAGAAGCAATGATGAGGTTCATGAACAGCCGAACGAGGCAATATAAGTGAAAACTAGAGACACTTGTCAGAGAAAACTACTTCAGTGTGTCGCTAGCAAATTAATAAAATAGATTAGATGAAGTTGTTGAGGCCTATTTGACAGTTTTAAATGTAATTATAAGAAAACGAAATGAGAAAGGTAACTGTATTGAACCAGTAATGTCGAAAGTTGAGGCTTCAACTGGTGGTGATGTCGAAAGTTGAGGCTTCAAATGGTGGTGATGTCGAAAGTTGAGGCTTCAAATGGTGGTGATGTCGAAAGTTGAGGCTTCAAATGGTGGTAATGTCGAAAGTTGAGGCTTCAAATGGTGGTGATGTCGAAAGTTGAGGCTTCAAATGGTGGTGATGTCGAAAGTTGAGGCTTCAAATGGTGGTAATGTCGAAAGTTGAGGCTTCAAATGGTGGTGATGTCGAAAGTTGAGGCTTCAAATGGTGGTAATGTCGAAAGTTGAGGCTTCAAATGGTGGTAATGTCGAAAGTTGAGGCTTCAAATGGTGGTGATGTCGAAAGTTGAGGCTTCAAATGGTAGTGATGTCGAAAGTTGAGGCTTCAAATGGTGGTGATGTCGAAAGGTTGAGGCTTCAAATGGTGGTGATGTCGAAAGTTGAGGCTTCAAATGGAGACTCGACCCTGCAAACACAAGTGGGCGAGTACATGTGGGTGAGAACACAGACACACATGGTCTCACCACCTACCAGAGCGACAGCAGTGGAGGTGCGGACTTCCTCAGGCGTCAGGACAGCGAAGTAGGCGACGTTGGTGAGGACGAACACCACCGTCAGGATGCCCATGGACACCCCAGAGGCCAGCGCGAAGATCCTCACGTGTCAGGGAGACAGAAAGTGATCAGGCGCCGTCATAACGGCCGAAACGCTTGTGCCTATTAGTGGCTTTAGGTATTGTATGTACTAGCTCTATCTATAAATCCAACATTATGTTTGTAACTCATCTTCTATGTATGTACTTTTACCTGAATAAACATTTGAATTTTGAATTTGAGTTTGAATAACTGTCATAGCCCTTCGCCTACTCGCGAGTCGAGGGGAAGTTTTCTACCCTCAAATTAGATAAGTCAGCAGTGTGTGAGGTACATCATTAACATAAACATAAACTCCCGCAAGAAAATACAATTCGTGCAGAGAGGTGGGTCCCTAAGGAGCAGCTTGTGATGTGTTCATGCAGAGCCTGAACTCATCACGGGGCTTCCGGGGCCGCTCCAAGCAACAGCCTGTTGGACTAAGTTATCCCAAGTCGAGTTTGACCTCAGGCCGGACTCGGGGAGTGGAAGAACTCCTGAAACCCTCTCCAGGTATAGTCCAGGTATCCAGAATACTGGTGGAAGGCCGGGGAGTGTAGTGGAGGGGTGAAGATACACTCCACATTAGGGGGAGAGATCTGGGGTGTTGACAATGGCGGGGAGGAAGGTCACACCACCAGTGTGTGCAGGTGGAAGGGGGGTGAGCAAGGTCATCACTCTGGGTGTGGAGCAGCAATAGTGTAAGGAAGAGGGGGACATAAATATTGTAGGTAGGAACAGTCATCACTACAGGTGTGAGACATCACTACAGGTGTGAGACATCACTACAGGTGTGAGACATCACTACAGGTGTGAGACATCACTACAGGTGTGAGGCAACACTACAGGTGTGAGGCAACACTACAGGTATGAGGCAACACTCCAGGTGTGTGAGGCATCACTGCAGGTGTGTGAGGCGACCGGCTGCTCACTTGCTGGGATTCCTTATCTCCTCCACCACCATGTTGAGGTTATTCCTGCGGGAAGTAAGATATTATGAACATCGACAATTTACACACACACTGATATGTGTCACCCCTTGCAGGTGTGGCCCCTGATATGTGTCACCCCTTGCAGGTGTGGCCCCTGATATGTGTCACCCCTTGCAGGTGTGGCCCCTGATATGTGTCACCCCTTGCAGGTGTGGCCCCTGATATGTCACCCCTCGCAGGTGTGGCCCCTAATATGTGTCACCCCTAGCAGGTGTGGCCAAAGAGAGGTGGGGCCGACAGGAGGAAGCACCCTGCACCTACCAGCCGTCGTAGGTGTAGATGCCCTGGTAGAAGGCCGTGATGAGGGCCGGGAGGTAGAAGCGGGTGTGGTGGAAGGGGTGGTGGTAGCTGGGAGACAGGTCGGTGGCCAGGTAGTAGAGGCCAGTGATGATGATGCCCGCCAGGATCATCAACTTGGGTATCATCAACACGTTCTGGAGCGCCACGCTCACTCTCACCGTTCGACTGTTGATCCACGCCAACAACACTGTCCAAGATTTGGTTAATGCACTATCTCTCTCTATCTATTTCACAATACACATCTAACATCCGGGTCAACTCTTATACGTAACACTGAGCTGGGAGATCTATTAGCATTATGAGGCCGGGGCGGTGTTACACACACTCTTATCTTCCACTCGTGAAAAACATTCACTATTATACACTATCTGTCAAGCTCAAGGCTACTATATAAAAGAGGAGATGCCTTTTTCATCCGCAGGGTTATAATCCCATGGAACCCCCTACCCGCCGAAGCCGTAAATGCCAAAACTACAAATGATAAAATCCAACTGTTGGAGGGACCAAAGACAAGCCTCCGGCTTCTTGTCCTCTTTGAGGCCACTAGTCTTAGTGTCGCCCTCAGGTAAATTCAGATTAATCCCACAATACCATTCGTTGCAGTGAAGGCTGAGTGCAATAGCTATAAGTGTTGGCCTCACCAGGCGGCCTCCACTGCCCTCTTTCTCTCTCCTGGAATCAATAATGAGGTGGTGGCGCTGGTCCACATGATACATCCCCGGGCTGTGGTGGTGCCAACCTGGCACTATCGACCCCTTGTGTGCCCTCACGCTCAACTATTACAATCTAAAACGATCTATGTGGTGTCATTTACACACACACACACACACGCACACACGCACACACGCACACACGCACACACGCACACACACACACACACAGGATAGACATGGTACAGGGTAGATAAAGTAGGTTGACAGGGAAAAGGTAGACATTAGAAAAGCTTTTTCAGTAGTTAACAGGTGGAATGCATTAGGCAGTGATGTGGTGGAGGCTGACTCCATACACAGTTTCAAGTGTAGATATTATAGAGCCCAGTAGGCTCAGGAACCTGTACACCAGTTGATTGACAGTTACGGAAAAATAGATTGGCTAGAAATGGGCCGCATGCGGCCAATTCCTATGGGCCGTAGGCGGCCAATGGGTTTATAATCCTATGAGTGAAAAAGTATCTCCTATTTCTATTCAACACTGAATTATTTGTGGCTTGTTGACCTTGGAGCTTTTGCCCCTAATTCTCTGTGTCATGAAAAGGCATGAGATTAAGCCACCCATTCACGGGCATGAATAGCCCGTAAGTGGTGGCCTTTTTGAGCCATTACCAGTATCAAGAGCTGATACTGGAGATCTGTGGAGGTGCGACTGCACCCTGCGTGACGGGAGATGTCTCCCGTCCAGTTCTGTGATGAATTTTGTCGCTCTTGTATAGAGGTATCCCAAGGTCGAACTACTGTCCTCGTCCAGGAAACATCCCCACCATTGTTGCCTTACTCCCGGTTGATATTTACTTCTAAGTGAAAAGAGACATTAGGACGAAGGAAAGATTCCTAACCATTCCGGTCCTGCCCTTGGCTTTGAATTCGGGATCGTGAGGAACGACAGAGTGGGCAAGGAGAGCATCGTTAGAGTGACAGGAAGCAGGACGAGAGGACACGAGTGGACGCTGGAAACCCAAATGAATCGAAGAAATGTAGGGAAATGCTCGTACCCTGTACGGGTTGTCAACAAGAGAAATGCACTGAAAGATGTGGAAGCCACCTTCATCTACAACTTTACGGCCAGATTCGACGAAGAATTCGAACGTCTTAATAGTTAAGTTATAAGGCAACAAATCCAACAAGACTAGTAGGCGGGGTATACAAAACTAGACCTAACTTCCCCGTAGTCACTGACATGTAAGTGCTGGTAAGTAAGTAGACACTTTCCTATCCAAGGAATACACAGGGAAGAGCGCCCTACCTATTAGCGCGGCAGCAAGGAGCCGGATAGCGGCGTCTGGTGGGTCATCCGGGAAGAAGGGACGGAGAACGTAGTAGCCGAAGGTGTAGGCGTTCACCACCTGCATGGTGGGCTGGACGATGATGATGTTCACCCACAGGTGGACGAAGGCCGGGGCGGGGCCGAAGGCGACGCTGATGTAGGTGTAGAACCCCCCGCTCACTGGTATCATGGTAGCTGCGCTCCACACCACCAAAAACATGTTCAATTAAATTAAAATGATAGGCTAATTACACACGCTGTATATGGGCCCACCAAACCTCGACAAAATAGAATAAAGGCATATATAAGTAGAAATAAATAGGGCATTTAGATGCCAAAAATGCTTACATTTTTGGTAATTATAATAGAATGAACTAGACCAGTAAACAGGTAATGTAGAGGCAGAAGAAATTTTGGAAATGACGGACGACTTCTTTCTTAAATAATACATTATGGAGTCAACCAGAAAAGTAATATATATATACTGTACTAGATTCAGTGGTGGCCAACAAGAAGACACTAGAAGATAACACTGAAATAGGATAAAACAGCATGGAGTTGTGCAAGAGAAAATGGAATTAGAGCAAATGGTGTTCTAGTAAAGTAGGCTATGAACAACTGACAAGCTGTTTGATGAGGTAGACTGGGCAGACCTCTGAACCGCCAAGTACTTGGTGTGCTGACAATGAATAATACTATACATGAGAATTATAACTCATTAGAAAACACTAATGAGTTATAATTCTCATGTATAGTATTATTCAATATCAGCACACCAAGTACTTGACGTAGTACATATTTGACGTAGTATATGTTTGACGTAGTATAACCGTGTAAATTAACTACGTACGTTGAATATTAATGAACCCAAAAATAATAACTAAGGAAATAAAAAACCTTATCGGAAAATAAAGGCTATGTTCAAGAGAATTAAGAACGGGGCGTAAAACATCTTTAGGAATAATCGGGGGACCTTTGACAAGCCGCTTGCTTCTTGTCCCCGTCGAATCCACTAGTGATGCCACCCCTCAGGTCAATACGCACACACACACTAGCATATTATGCCACAAATTTGAAATAGTGAAACTTAATAGACGCATCTACATAGCATGCATACAAGCTTTTAATAAAATCTTACTATTACTAACCAAACTCAGAGAAGGTGATGGCGCCTATAAGGGACACCACACCAGACAGCGCCCACGTCAGGAGGGCCACGCCCACGCTCCCGCTGTACTGTAGCACCCCGCGAGCACTGATGAAGATACCGCTGCCAGACACAATACTGATGACGAGGACGATGCTGTCTAGGAGTCCCAGTTCCTTCCTCAGCTGCAAGGTCTCCGAGGGTGTCCCGCTGGTGCCAGTATTTGAGGCTGCGTCGTCAGCATGTGCTCCCGGGCGGGGGCTTGCGGCATCCTTCCCTGCCGGCGGCGCTGAAGGATTAACCTTCATTGCGGTTCAGTGTGGTATTAAGGAATTTTCAAATGTTTGTGGTGAATTCTTTATGACTATCTCCTCTTGCCTAGTCAATAAAGGCAAATGTTTGGATGTCACAGCTTCGGGAGATACTGATGGCGAGCTTCCTCAGCTCAGTATTTAGCTCAGTGAGCCAGGTATTATGACCAGCGTAAACCCTCACAGTAAATATGTGACCAGCTCACTCCTGACTCCGCTAATTATCATCGGATTTAAACTTAAAGTCTCTGAGCCTTCAAGATCACTTACACCTCCTACTTCGCCGGTACGACACACCTTCCGCCCGGTTTTGGGAGCAAAGACTGGGTGTTGGGAGCGAGGACTGGGTGTTGGGGGCGAGGACTGGGTGTTGGGAGCGAGGACTGGGTGTTGGGGGCGAGAACTGGGTGTTGGGAGCGAGGACTGGGTGTTGGGGGCGAGGACTGGGTGTTGGGAGCGAGGACTGGGTGTTGGGGGCGAGGACTGGGTGTTGGGAGCGAGGACTGGGTGTTGGGAGCGAGGACTGGCTGTTGCGTTGACACTAGAGTGAGTTGGGAGGAACCCACCTCTCAACCCCTCGACTGTTTGAGTTGGTGATTATCTTGTGATATAATCTGTCGATCTCATTTTCACGCTTGCAAAGTGGGTCGGCATTTATTTGTCTGTGTCTGTGTACTCACAGACACACGTTTGACTGTTTGGCGGGGACAGGTTAAGGGTTTGCTAACCGGGAGTTGGAATTGGTGATATTGCTAACAACATGAATGGTATTATGGCTGGAAATGGGAACAAATCCATTATTTGTATGTGCCCGTGGAAATGATGTAGAACGAGTTAAGAGTGAGGCACTGATACAGAGGTTTAAGAGAGTCATAGAATTTGTTAGGAGCAAGGGAGGAATACCGATCATATGTGACATTCTTCCAAGAAAGGAAGTTGGAAATGAATGGTTGTCGAGGGCACTTGGTGTCAATTGCCGACTGGATAAATATTACAAAACAAATGCAATATCATTTATTGATAACTGGGAACACTTCAATTGAATGAATGACATATATGTTCGAGATGAGGTGCATTTATCTAGGGCTGGCGTTGTTGCTGTTGCCAACTTGTTGGAATCTATGGTTGGAGGGGTTTGTTTGGATTTAAACTGTTAGTAGATAGTGGTATGGGAATTTATATGGAGAAAGGAGGCAATAAAAATGTGTTGGGGGGGGGATTGCATAATGAACAGGGATAGAAAAGGGCCTCAAAATCGCAATACACTTAAGGCATATTACACAAACACTAGGAGTCTATGAAACAAAATGAACGATTTAAATGCTCTTGTCATCACAAAAACAATAGATATTATTGCACTTACTGAAACATGGATGAATATAGAAAAGAGAACTATTAGTTGAATAATCTCAAATAAACGGATTTAAACTACAGTATTTCACACTTAGATATATTAGATGAGGAGGGGGAGTAGCCATAAATGTCACAGAAAATTTAAAATGTAGTCTCAAAGAGGGCATCAAAACAGAGCCCCACACACAAACTATTTGGTTAGAATTAAACGAAATAGCTAAAAATCTTGTAATAGGAGTTATATACAGGCAACCAAAATTAGACATAATGGAAGCAAAGCATCTATGATTACAAAGAAATCAGATTTAGCATAGAATGGAATAGATTTGTAGGAGAAAATTCCGTTAGTGTCAGATTTCCGAAAAGCTGATTTTAATGGCCTAAGGAACTTTTTTGGTGAAATAGATTGTTAAGTCCTGGGCATGGAGGGTGGGCCAGTCTTGGAACGAGACATGAACCTAGCGATGGGTATTGTAAAAGGGGATTTTACACTTAGGTAATTACACATTACCTATGTGTAATTACACTTAGGTAGGTTAGGTAATTACACACAGAAAGACCTAGGGGTTGATATCACACCAAACCTATCTCCTGAAACCCACGTCAAAAAATAACATTGGTAGGGTATGTGAGGCTGGCTAACATCAGAACTGCCTTCAGAAACTTGTGCAAGGAATCTTTCAGAACCTTGTACACCACGTATGTAAGGCCAACCCTGGAGTATGCGGCCCCAGCATGGAGCCCATACCTTGTCAAGCACAAAACAAAACTGGAAAAAGTTCAGAGGTATGCCACTAAGCTAGTCCCAGAACTAAGAGGCACGAGTTATGAGGAAAGGCTGAGGGAACTGTACCTCACGTCACTGGAAGACAGAAGAGCTCGGGAAGACATGATCACTACATACAAGATTCTCAGAGGGAATTGGCAGGGTAGACAATGATGGATTATGTAACACGGGTGGTACATGCATAAGGGGACACAGGTGGAAGCTGAGTACCCAAATGAGCCACAGACACATTAGCAAGAACTTTTTCAGTGTCAGAGTAATTAGTAAATGGAATGCATTAGGAAGTGATGTGGTGGAGGCTAACTCCATACACAGTTTCAAATGTAGATATGATGGAGCCTGGTAGGCTCAAGAATCTGTACACCTGTTGATTGATGGTTGAGAGGCGGGACCAAAGAGCCAGAGCTCAACCCCCACAAGCACAACTAGGTGAGAACACACAGCTGCCAAAGCCAGACAACAATTCGAGGCCAGAGGAGACTTCTGGACCAGCACATCAGTCTACGTACTGAGGGTGGTGCAGCTGGCTCGCCTCAGCGGGTGCACTAGTTGGATGACGATTTGCTTGTTTCATTGTTTTCCTTTGGGGGAGTTCTTTGGCTCTGTTCGAACATTGGTTGTAATTTTAAGAAGTTAGAAGTTTGAATTGTTTCACCTACCTTTCTGGTGATATGCCCGGTTGATGGCAGACATGACAAACTCTAAATGTAGAGTGCTCATATAGCCATTGCTCCCTGAACCTCTCTGAGGAGGCCAGGTTCTGGCTCGTGTCCCCTGGTAGGCACTCGAACTCCAGGGACTGATGGAGTGTGTTTGAACTGAACTGAGTGGTGTTTGTATCACCAAACTAATATGGCATATGTTAGTTTGATAGCTGCGGGGAGCCGACGAGGCTTCCCACAGAAAATGAGATATTGACAAACATTATAGGAAAGAACCCCATAATCAGCTTTGAACAAGATAGCTGCATCCTCCTATTACAGTTATGTGAGTGAGCCAATTCGAGAGTACAGATCAACAGACACTTAAAGGGAAATTTAACCGAATTAACTACAATACCATCAATTAATACTGCACACAAAATTTTTATTTTTATTATGAAACAGTGTTAACACAATATGTCAACAACAATGTATCTCATTTATACAAACTGCATAAAAAAATTGAACTTTATGACACTGAAACGTTATATCAAAATCTACATTATATCCAGGAATTTCAATGACCTTGAAACACTATACAATATGTCTTGTAAGCCACTGCAATAAATTATTTGAATTAAACTATGCTATGCTGTTGTATTTTGGGACTGGCTCTGTCTAAATCTCCAAGTCTCGAGCTTTCCTGTGTTGTCAGCAGAAAGTAAAAGCTTTTCTTGTGATGGATGCCACAAGTGTGTTACAATGTTCTGTACATTGTGCCCTCTATGGCCATCATGACTAAATATTATTCCATTATTCACCTCGGGAGTTTTGAAATTATATACGTGTACATTCTTGTCATACCCACACACTGATACAAGTGAGCTGGTAGGGCTGATGCGTATTTCATGGCATCTCATCGTATTTTCCTCCACCTTCACTCTAGCCATAAAAACTGCTTCGTTGTAATTTCTCGTATCATAAACGCTTAACATACCACTAGAATTTGCTACAGCTACAGTGTCTCCTTCACAACTAACATCCATTGTCCACCTTTCCTCTGATTTTTTGGAACCTGCTATTTCTTGCACAACTGTTCCCACTCTTGGCTCATACAAGAGTACATTTCCTTTGTCTCTTAGGCATATGAACAGTTTTTCATTCACATATGACATATCACTAATTGCATCCTTGCTGTCCCACACACTGCTGTTTGAAGTATTGTTTTGAACTTTTGGCATTTCAGATATTTTGCACGAATTCAGATCAAAACGAGAAATGGATGAAAGAGATGCACCGGAGTACACACTAGCACTGGATAATGCCAAGGAGGCATCCTTCACATCACTCCTCAAGGTCTTGGTTAAACTCATCACATCTGCAACAAATTACTTTGGTGAAGAAATGTGTAGAAACCAACAGAATGCAATCAGCAGAAGTAGGAATTAGGTTTGTATCCAATGGCCAGTTAGGCTGGTGACTTGGAAACCTTGTGATGCTAAAAACTCCACCTGCCCAAGAAATAAAATGTGGTTGAAGTCAAAAAGAAAGGGAAAGACAAACACGTTATTTCAACACTATTCAAATGGAACTGATTAGCTTCTTATGAAACTATAGCCACTTGCTTCTGTCATTTCAGAGAGATGCCAGATAAACTGCACTGTTCGTAAGTGGGTTTGCACGACACAAGCAGGTACAGGCTAGCTGATTATGCAGTTAAAATTACTCTCATTAAACAGTGTATATGCAGTCTTAGCCTATGTAAACCTTTAAAATGCATTTGGCAAAAGCTGTTAAATTCAGTTAACTGTAGATTTTAACATCAACCTGTGAAAATAAATGTTTAATGATTAATACTCTGGAAAGTTAACAACAAAAGTACAGTACAGCTGAATGGATGCTCAAATTTTTCAGATGCCAACACCAATACTCCAAAACTGAAGACAGACGAATGCTGTGCTGAAATTCCAATAATTAATATTGTTTATAGATGTCAGAGCTTATCAAGATATAACAATGCTTCTCGTGATCTCAGATCTAAATGAAGTCTTAGTAAGTTAGTAACACTTTCCCTCTCTCCCCACACCCCTCTTTTCCATCTCTCCATTCTCCCTTCTTCCCTCTTCCCATCTTCTCCTTCCTCCTCCCCCTCTCACCCCAATCTTTCATATTTTTTCCCATCTTCCACCTTCCCCATCTGGCCTCCATCCTTGAACAGACATTAACATTTACATATACAGTACATACTTAGAGGGAACACAGAGCACATATACAGCATCCATATAAATGATAAAGCACCTAAATTATTGGGACCATCTCAAAGTTCTCAAAATGTATTCTCTAGAAAGGAGATTAGAGGTATCATTAAAATATACGTGGAAGATACTGGAAGGACAGGTCTCAAATTTGCAGAGTAAAATAACAATATACTGGAGTGAAAGGTATGAATGGGAATGCAGAATAGAACCAGCAAATTGCGGTGGTGCCATAGGTACAATCAGAGAGCACTGTATGAACATAGGTCCACGGCTATTCAATGCCCTCCTAGCAAGCAAAACAAAATATTGCTGGAACAAAGGTGGACTTCACTGAGAAACAACTAGACAAGTTCCCGTGAGAAGTGCCGGACCAACCAGGTTGTAGTGGATATGAGAGCCTGGAGGCTGCTCCAAGCAACAGCCTGTTGGACCAAGTTATCAAGTCAAGCCTGGTTCCAGGCTGGGCTTGACTTGTGATAACTTTTCTATTAACTTGTGAGTCCTTTTCTATTAACTTCCGACAAAACAAATATATATTTAGTTTCCTTTACCATGTGTATCTAATCCCATTGCATTCTTTTAAACATCTTTCTCACAGACTCTGCAAATGGAACTAATGAAACTCAAGCATTAAAAACAGAATGTCAATAATATGTATATCTAGTAGCTTTCTTTCTATAAGACACAATAAAAGACATGTTCAACGTGACAACACCCTCAATGCCATGATATTATTGCTGCTGCAAATCCAATATTCATAGAGAAATAATTATTTTTACCTGACTCAGACTTGGACTGTGGCAAAGAGTAGAGGAGCACACCACTTGAGCCTGAGATAATCACACTAGATGGCACATACAACATCTGGAAAAGATATACACAAAAAGTTTGAAAATTACCATTACTGTATAGTACAGTATATGAAAACTTGTATGGCATAACATAAATTAACACAATCATTGACAAAAATGCATGAAAACTTTCTCTGCATATTCTGAGAATATGAGAGAAAGTTTGATAAAAATCAAGAAAGCCTTGAAACATAACAAATTAATTACTGTAATATATATAATAAAACCACGCAGTAAAGAATGGGAGATTCCGAAGGAAAAGGAAGTAATTGAAGGAAGTAATAAAAAGGAAGCACACAAGTGCTTCCATATGTGTCAAAGGCTGGAAAAGACATACTGAGAGAGAAACAAAACCCAGCCAAGTCGGAACCTGGGATGGAACCAGCTGGGACTACTACCTCTAGTTCACCAAGAACCCAAACCTGGTAAGCTGGAAAAGAACCAGTTCCCTGGCCAGCTCACATGCAGACCAAATGGTGGGTTCACAACAACCAGACTTCGAGGTGGGCTAACAGAAACCTCTAAGATATGTAGACTTGCCACCATGGTCTGCACTAACCTGCTTAATACACAGGGCCCAAATTCAAACTTAAGGAAAGAACCCTGAAATGGTAAGCCTGACATCCCACAACAAAACCCAGCCAGTTCCTGAACCTGGAATGTATCAGGACATGCCAATAAGCTTATTGGAGGTCCAGGGTCACCATCCATGCTCCAACCTGTATTAGCAGACGAACATGGGCCAAAGTGGTCATGCAGAAATTTGGGCAGGGAATGAAGCTGTTCAGCCCTGAAAGATCAAAGCTGTACTGGAGGTCTGCCAAATCCTGCTTTGGGACTGGAAATAACCGAGACACCCATTGAAGGTATATTGAAATTGAATTGAAATTGAAATTGAAATAAGTTTATTGAGGTAAAATACACACAAAGGGATGAGGTAGCTCAAGCTATTCTCACCCCATTCAGTACAACGTGTTAATATATACATAGACACACATCACAAATAAACACATTACCAAACATTCTGAGAGGTAAAAATATACATTTCCTCCCTCACAAGTAGTATGGTATCAGACGTACGAAAGCAGTCTGTATTGAAGGTATAAGGACAGCTCAACCACACCCATGTCCAGCTATCCCACAATGGCCTGCTTAATACCTGCCTGATGAGGTTCTGGGAGTTCTTCTACTCCCCAAGCCCGGCCCAAGGCCACGCTTGACTTGTGAGAGATTGGTCCACCAGGCTGTTGCTTGGAGCAGCCCGCAGGCCCCCATATCCACCACAGCCCGGTTGGTCAGGCACTCCTTGAAGAAAATTATCTAGTTTTCTCTTGAAGATGTCCACGGTTGTTTCGGCAACAATTTTTATACTCGCTGGGAGTATGTTGAACAACCGCGGACCTCTGATGTTTATACAGTGTTCTCTGATTGTGCCTATGACACTCCTGTTCTTCACTGGTTCCATTCTGCATTTTCTTCCATATCGTTCACTCCAGTAAGTTGTTATTTTACTGTGTAGATTTGGGACCTGGCCCTCCAGTATCTTCCACATGTATATTATTTGATATCTCTCGTCTCCTTTCTAGTGAGTACATTTGGAGAGCTTTGAGACGATCCCAATAATTTAGGTGTTTTATCGCGTCTATGTATGCCGTATATGTTCTCTGTTCTCCCTCTATTTCAGCAATTTTTCCTGCTTTGAAGGGGAGAAGTGAGCACTGAGCAGTACTCAAGATGGAACAGCACAAGTAATTTGAAGAGTACATCCATTGTGATGGGATTCCTGGATTTGAAAATTCTTGTAATCCAACCTATCATTTTTCTGGCTGACACAGTATTTACTTGGTTAAGCTGCCTAAACGTTAGGTTGTCAGACATCATTATTCCCAAATCCTTTACATGCTGTTTTCCTACTATGGGTAGATTTGATTGTGTTTTGTACCCTGTATTATGTATAAGATTCTCATTTTTACCATACCTGAGTACCTGGAATTTATCACTGTTAAACATCATGTTATTTTCTGCTGTCCAGTCAAAAACTTTATTAATATCTTCTTGTAGTTTTTCAATGTCTTTAGCCGAGGTCATTTTCATGCTGATTTTTGTGTCATCTGCAAAGGATGATACAAAGCTGTGCCTTGTATTTGAGTTGCCTTGTATTTATATCTGATATGAGAATGAGGAAAAGCAGTGGTGCAAAGACTGTACACTGAGATACAGAGCTTTTAACTGCGCTTGGACTCTATTTTATGTGGTTAACTGTTACTCTTTGTGTTTTGTTCGACAGAAAACTGAGTATCCACCGTCCTATTTTACCAAAATTTGTTTGCTATCACTCCATGGTCACATTTATCGAATGCCTTGCAAAATCCGTGAATACCACATCTGCATTCTGTTTTTCTTCTAATGACTCAGTGATTTTGTCGTAGTAGTCAAGTAGCTGTGAGAGGCATGATTTTGCCTCTCTAAATCCAAGTTGGCCTAGATTGTGGAGGTCATTGGTTTCTATGAAAGTAGTGACCTGACTGTAATTTTACACTCTCAAATACTGTACCTGTAATTTTATTATGTGGGACATTAATGCAACTGGTTTATAATTCTTTGCCAATGCTTTGCTCCCTTCCTTGTCTGTTACAGTAGTTGTTAGGACTCCTGTCTCGTAAGATCTAACTCCAAGAACAAGGGAGGAACCAATCAACTCCACCACAGGCTGAGAAAAACGACAATGTTTTATCATTGCTGATACAGGATGAAGTATGAATACATGTACAGTATAAACAAAATTGCAACCATACCCAAGAAAATATAAAAATTCTTACAAAATCATATGGTATCCCTACTGTGGATTCTTAATTCCTTACTTGCTTAGCCAAACATTCAGTGAAGCCAGCTGCCAGCAGATTAAAGTCTCGATTCTTAATAAGGCCTGCATCCTTCCTTGTAATCAATTTCTCGGGAAAACCAAGTTCCCAGATTTCATGGCGGCTCTCTGAAACATGCAGTATAAAAAAACTAACAGTTCAATATATTCTCTTTAAGAGCTAGAAAATCTAATGCAAGACCTCTATGGTTCATAATGTGAACCATAGAGGCCTTAGGGTTTTAATGGTTCACCATTCACATTACATAAATTACTGTACAGTATATAGAAATGGAAGTGAAAAGCATCATTAGTAAATTGATTTATGACATTAAGACTGAGAATAATAATCTGAGATAAATATTCAGACATGCTGCAGAAAGACCAAAATAAACTCAAAATACAGTAGACTGAAAGTTGACAGATGCAGTTCAATGCTGACAAGAGAAGGGTTTTAAGCCTTGGAAAGAACACAGATTAGCCAAGATGTTAAGTCTAATTATGAAAAGGATTTGGAAATCATGATAAGTAGGAATCTGAAACAAAGAAAATAATACTAAAATATTTGACTAAATTAATCCCAAAGTTTAGGAATTTTCCATATGGAGAGAGTCTAAGAAAATTCAATTTACATCAATAGACTTCCCTCTTGACTGCAGAGTGGTGCCAGATGGAGCTTCGGGGAGAGGAAGAAACCTGCCTCCCATGAAGCCCATGACCTACCACATATGTCACATGTAGCCTATGATCATATTCTACAGTAGGTTATATTATTACCTAAGATATACGAATACTGGAATATTTCCTTGATGTATAATCTAAGCTACATTTATGAATTATGATGGGAAAACCTATATATTGCAAGACTGACTGCACATGCTTCAATACCGATAAACTATAAAACCTATTATAATATACAGTACACACGTTTTTTTTTTCATATTAATATACATGTACATGCCAAGTGTGTTATAAAAAACAGTGAACATATACCCCCTCACCTCTAGAGACTGCCAAGAGCAGTCTGCTGTCATTACAGAACGTTGCACAAGACACAAAACCGTGTACGTCATACATTAACAAGTCTTCATACCTGCAACATACAAAGGTCAATGAATGCCAAAGGAAAATGTTATTCAATAAGTGAAAATATATGTGAGGGGAGATACCAACGTTCAGTATTCGCTCAGATATACATTCAGTTCGTTAAAACTGTATGTATTGTTATGCTAGGATGAATTAGCTTAGGTTAGGTTTTATTGGGCTAGGTTAAATTTGGTTGGTTTGGGTTAGGTTGGGTTTCAAAATCTGTTGGCGAATTATCTTGTATCCTTTGATAAGCTATTTATACAGTTTAATGTATTTAGTATAATTTATTATTATATCCAAATTTCTTAAGAGGTCCTCTGACCAATAATATACGTTATATGTGAAACATTCTAGTGTAGCAAATGGCATGGGTTACCAATTAAGGTACAGATAGTAAAATTTAATAATACAACTTAAATATAAACAAACAGTGCAAAAATACAGATGTATGAAATGATTGTCACATGTCAGTTGCTTAATTTAGAGACCGCATTTGTGGTCGGTCTCGAGCCCATTGTTGACGTGACGATGTGCATTGAATTTTGGAACTCAACATAACTGTAATTTGCTTAGCTAAATGAAATTTGTTGTTCAGTCTCTGAGCCCACTGTGAGCCTCTATGACCCTTCCCACTAACGCCCACAGGATGGGTATAGGGTGCATCATAAAGGAACTAAACAAACCACACTTTTCTCGTATATTCATTGTCTCAAATGAAAATAAGCTACCTTGCTATTGAGTCAAAAAACCACTCATCAGACTCCTCAGTGTCCCAAAAGTTGTCACCGTCCATGGTGAACACGTGAACACCTGCTGGCTGCTCTGTCATCTTGTGTTGTTGTTGTTGTGGTGGTGAGTCAGGGGCAGCTACAGCACGGAGGGCTCTGCACCCCTCCACTGCAAGTTAATAAGCAAGTTTGCAACTTGTATAGCTAAATGAATTGTGGGGTTCAGTCCCTGAGCCCATTATGTGCCTCTCTGTAACTCTTTCCACTACCGCCCACAGGATGGGTATGGGGTGCATAATAGATGAACTAAACTAACTCCTCCACTGGTTGTTAGCCCTGAGGCCCTCAACCCTGGTACGAGAGTTGACTTAGTTCTGTTATGATTTTTGTTGCCCGGTGTTGCACTTTCTCCAGAACAGCTATGTCCTTCGGTCTCCATGCTAGGATACAATAATTTAAGTTAAGACGCACCAGAGATTTATATAGTTGAATCACTACTTTCTTTTCCTTAAGTCAAAGGTACACTTGATTATTTCAAGGGGTTTGTTAGCTTTTTTACTGCTGCTGTTCCTACCTGTTATGAAACTTTCAGTGAATGATGGATTTTGACTCCAAGATCCTCCTTTGTCATTGTGGTTGGCTCCCACGGTACCCTCGTGGCCCTGGAGTCATTAACCATATGCATCCTGTGGTAGTCGAAATTCAACATTGGCTATTTCTTATCTCTAGCAGACTTGAGACAGTTGGGTTTACTGGGTTCCCAGCCATGTTGGTATTGTCTGAAATGAACGTACAGATAATATACTGCCGCTAAGGAGGCTGTCCGCACTTGTCCTATAACCAAAAGAGGCATTCATTATTCAGATTTCTACCCAATCATTCATTCCCCAATCAGAGACTGCTGACCTTATCTATAACCTCAGACAAAGTCTGAGGTTATAGGTAACAAACTGTACACTCTCAAAATGGACCTATCCGCTGGACCTTCCTGCTACCACCATAATAGAATAACAGACAGTGGGAAACGGCTTTGGCTAGGTTACGTATTGGCCTTAACTCATAGACATTCAATGGAATGTTGCCCTGCTCCTTACTGTTCAAACTGCGATATCTCACTTACAATCATATATAACCCGAATTTACCTGAGGGCCACTAACACTCAGTACACTTGGAATATCACTAATCACTAATATCACTTGGAAGAGATCAGGAAAAAAAAGTAGTTAGTAAACAGTTGATTGACAGTTGAGAAGCGGGCCGAAAGAGCAAAGCTCAACCCGCAAACACAACTTTATTTATTTATTTATTTATTTTTTTTATTTTTGAGATATATACAAGAGCTGTTACATTTTTGTACAGCCACTAGTACGCGTAGCGTTTCGGGCAAGTCCTTAATCCTATGGTCCCTGGAATACGATCCCCTGCCGCGAAGAATCGTTTTTTCATCCAAGTACACATTTTACTGTTGCGTTAAACAGAGGCTACAGTTAAGGAATTGCGCCCAGTAAATCCTCCCCGGCCAGGATACGAACCCATGACATAGCGCTCGCGGAACGCCAGGCGAGTGTCTTACCACTACACCACGGAGACTGTGGTGTTATTTATATACAACTATATATACGACGTTGACTATTTATATACAAGAAGGTACATTGGGTTTGTGAGAATACATAGCATAGTATTTACAATCTTGTAAAGCCACTAGTACGCGCAGCGTTTCGGGTAACTAGGATACAACTAGGATAAGGATTTGGGATGGGACGGAGGAAGGAATGGTGCCCAACCACTTGGACGGTCGGGGATTGAACGACGACCTGCATGAAGCGAGACCGTCGCTCTACCATCCTATCCAAGTGGTTGGAAAAGGCTACAGTTAAGGATGCGAACCCAGGCCAAACCGCTCGCGAAACGCCAGGCGAGCGTCTTACCACTACGCCACGTTATGAAAATTAGGTCTGATTTTAATGAATAGAGTAAATGTTTGTTGTGTGTGGTGTTTTCTTTGATTGTTATTAAGCTTGTTAATAACACAAAAAATCTATAACAGTACCTAAGCTTGTTAATAAAGAAAAATAATGTACGAAGGCATTAGTGTACGAATTGATTGTAATGATTTGTTTAGTATAGTTCCTTCCCTTACTCCTCGTTTGCTTTATCACCATATATGATGATCTTTAACTTAATGTTTTCCTAAATTATCGCGATCAATAAATTCAGTATTCATTGAGTAATAGTTTCAGAGGAAAATAATAGTTTAATTCAAAATGGCTTCAATGAATTAGTTTTCTCCCCGTTCTGATACAACCGGTTAAATTAACTAAATTGAGAACGCTAATATATATACGCTTTAAGTTTCTCTGTAAATAATGAAATAGTTTTTACAATTATTATAATGCTTTATAAAATATAGTTGTGAGTGTCGTGGCGGTAAATTAGTATAAAAATGCAAGGTTAATTTCACCGTCAAATTGTTTACTGGAAGAGGAAGGCGCGAGGAGGAGGTAATGGCCGACACAGCTTCTTGTTTTCCTGTAAATTGACCACCCCCAAGGCAGTGTAATAATGATCAGTGTACATAATGATGAGCCGGGGACGGTGTAGGCGTCGCTGGAGTGGTATATGAGGGCGAGGAGTGTGAGAGAGGAGAGTAAGGTGGCGGAGCAGCAGAGAGCGGGAAGGGACGCCACCACCACCTCGTGCCTGGCATCCCGGGCCAGGGACGCCCGCCCCCCTGACGCCACCTTTGTCACCCCCTCGTGTACCTGGTGACCCTTGTCACCCCTGTCTGTGCACCCCGGGGCTGGTGTGTGTGTGTGTGGAGGCGGCCGCCGCCTGGGGTGAGGAAGGTAGTGTGAGGTTCCACAGTATTATTCGTCTTGTTTACTAAATTGTGGCCCCGGAAGGGCTAGTTTACCGGGCAGGTTATTGGGCACTGATCCTGTGGGCGAAGACAGAGCTATAGCAGCGTGTACAGCGCCTCTTAATAGGAAGACAAGCCGCTGGGGTGGTTGGTCCTGTCACTTGTCCCCCAGACGCCGCTGGGGGCGTCACCGTCTCGAGTGAGCAGGTTGTCAACCCAGGCGTCAGCAGCTGTCAACTCTCAACCATTCTCTTATCACATTTTCAAAAGATTTGGGTCTGAACAGGGATATTAATTTTTTGACCTGATTGGTGAGTGTATTGGGCCTCGTCACTCGTGCTGCGAGGCGAGGTGCAGTCTTGTAGCCACTTGTTCAACACCCGTTACTAGGAAGAACACCTGCTTGGTAGTTGCCGTCACTTGTAGTTAGATTAGTAACCAAGATGGTCTCTAGAGTTAAACCAGTAATGTCACACCATCTCGCAAAAGTATACTTTTGTTCATTTTTCTTGGGTTTGGCTTGGATAGAAAAGATTTCTTTAAAAGAGTTGTGATTACAGTGGCATAGATTTTTTTTTTTTTTTTTTTTAAACTGTGATCAGCGCCCAACATCACTGGGTTGTTCACCTCGCTACCAGGCACAGGTGCCGCCGGGTTGCTCATCAACCTGTGCCCAGGCACGTTGTTGTTTTTTAGATTCAGCTTTTCGGGACAAAAAGTTGCAAATAGCACGGGCAATGGTGAGCCCGTAGTGGACTTCCCTGGCATAGGAGCGGGGCTGTATGTGTTGCCCAGGCATCACTGATGCATTATGAATTAACAATCAGTCTAGATTATTGTGATTCAAGTTTTTAGTTTGTACAAAAAAGGCTTTTTTATCATGCAACGTTTGGGTTGCTAGTGGGAAACAATTACTGTAATCTAATTTTCAGCTTTCATAGTGCAAAAAAATAGTGATTGGCAACTCCATTATCACTGCTATTTTAAATTCTGTAGTCTGTAGGGAAAAAAGTCTGGATTTCTTGAAAATAAATCTTAAAAATCACCTTTATTTTGTTAGATGTAAAGATTTAAAAAGTAGATTTTGCTCATCTAATAAAACATGAGATACCTGGGGGTGGGTTCTGGGAGGCCTTCTCTCCAAGCCCAAACTGAGGCTAGGCTTGCCTTGTGATAACTTGATCTAGATGGCCATTGCTTGGAGTGGTCCATATATCCATTGCCAACTCGGTTGGTTCGGCACTTCCTATAGGAACTCATCCATTTGTTTCTTGAACACATCCACTCTTGTTCTGGCAATATTTCTTATATTTGTTTGGAGAATATTAATGAGCCATGGACCACTTTATGTTCAGACAGTGTTGTGATTGTGCATATGGCACCTCTACTCTTCTTTAGGTCTATTATGTGGTTTCCCACCATGAAAATGCAGAGCAGATATGGTCCCTGTTCATCAAATTAGATGGACGCCTTAAAACTATTGGCATAAGTTTTTTGAAAGCCAACCATAGCAAGCACCAGTTAATATGCTGACTTTATATTTTGTCTTTTTGGTTTATAAGTTGGAAATTTCCATAAATCTGCAATTGTGTAGCGTTATTTTAGAAAACCCTTACCTTTTTGACCTAGGTAATACAAATATTTTAACTATCACCCACCTGCTGCTCAAGAGACAGATCAGCACAGTAGGTATAATCCACATTCCTTTCAGTGTATAAATCTGAAAGACACTTTGCTTGAAACCACAAATTTGTTTTATAACTGATGGCTGAATAGAAGCTAATAAATAAGTATACAATATCTTAAACTTTAAACTTGAAATTCATTATTAAAGTAGATTTTGTTTTCAAGCAAGCCTGTTTTTTCTTAATTTGAATGCAGAGGTAATGGGATATGAACAACACATGAATTGTCATTAACACTGCTTCATGAAGACTGCTCTTTTTTTTTCCCTATATTCTATAAACTGTGATGGGTAGACTTTCTTGAATGTGTGTGAACCTTTCAATGTTGATATGTTTTCCATCCCTTTAATTCAGCGATTTTATTATATTTTCTGGAAGTTTCACTTGCAGTTCGTGGAAAAAAAGAGTGGAGACTTCCCTGCAGCTGGTCCTTAGCTGCTGCCTTTTGCTATTATTTGCAGTACACCAAGCAGGTGAAAGCGGCAAATGTCCTCTGCCTATTCTTGTTCTCTTCCGTGATGCAATTGTTACATCTGAAGCTGCTTCATTGCTGCTGGTGAAGCTATTTGTTGCTGCTCTTTCAGCAGAAGCTGTGCATTGCTGTTCTGGAAGGTTAAAGGTTTTTACTGCTGCTAGCTGAATTTGCCATTGCTGCTGTCACCAGTGTTGATGCCAAAACTGTTGCCCATGGAGTCGGCTGCTGAAACGGAATAAAATTGCCTGTCTACTGCTCTTGGTAATTTGCTCTATCTGGTTTATTTTTCACGAGACAGTCCATAAAAGTTCAGATGGTGAAAACTGAAGATGAGAGGCGGTCCAAATATCAGATATTTTGTCTCGTCAGATTTTGATTATTTGTTCTTGATTGACTTCCAAGTCATCAGTGTTGTACTTAGTTTTATTGGAAGGGTCGATGAGCATGCTGCTTCCAGAATAATAAATTGAATAATACATTTTTATTTACTGTCAAGATGTGTCACTCAGTGCCATGAGCATTTGAATTTACTTACGAATTTAGGTATAAATTTGAATTTGGTTTTGAAGAAAGTTTGGTCATGCTAGTTTAATTTATTATCATTTGAAGGACCATTCCTACTGTTTCTTGACCAATAATTTCTTATTGCTCAAGAGAAAGCTGTATTAATTGGATTTTCGCACATTTAAGTTCGATTTTGTCTTCCTTACTGGAGAAAGGCCCACTTTGAAAGCTATTGTTGGGCTGTTGTAGTCTTATCAGTCGCTCTGCATTCTTCTTAGGCGTGATCTAATTTTGTCAAGTGTTACTTCTGCAGGGGTCTCTCTTCCTCTCCATGGGCTTGTCATTTTCAGATGAATAGGGAATGTGCAGTGTGTGGGGAGAAGTTTACCTATTGTTGTTTTCCTGGGCTTGTCCACAGTGACGGCAAGTGTGGCTAAGTTGGTCATCCTCTGCTTCCAGCGCAATGGCCACTAAACAATCACCAAAAGGACAGGAGCAGAAGAAGGCACCTCTGGAGCAGAAGAAGGCACCTCTGGAGCAGAAGAAGGCACCTCTGGAGCAGAAGTCACCTCTGCAGCCGAAGAAGGCGGCACTGGAGCAGAAGAAGGCACCACTGGAGCAGAAGAAGGTCGTACCAGAACAGAAGAAGGTGCCGGTAACTGCTCCCGATACAAAAAAAAGGGAACCGATAGTTATAACAATTGAAGATAAAGACAATAAAAAGGATGTGTTGCCTGTCGCTAAAGGAGGAAAAGACTTGCAGAAAAATGAAAAGGATGTAAAGAAGGATGACTCCAAACAGAAAAGTGATCGCAGTCGCCCAAGAGAAAGAAGTCGAAGCAGAGATAGGGGACGGTATAGCCGTGATGATAGGTCCAGTCAACGAAAGCAGGAGAAAGAGGTTTGTCGCAACTTCCTTCACAACCGCTGTGATCGTGGAGCTCTTTGCAAATATTACCACCCTAGGTCGTCCAGCAGCTCCCGCTCGGGTCCAGATGATTCCGGTCGAAAGAGAAGTCCTGTACGTGCTCCAGGCGATGACAGCGGAGGCAGAGTTGTCTGCCGTGACTTTGTCCGCAACATGTGCAAGCGTGGCGATGATTGTCGATTTTACCATCCTCCATCAGAGTCTGGCAGTAAAACTCAGCATAGTTCCTGGCTCACCTTCTGCCATGACTTCCAAAATGGACTCTGTTCTCGCTCTGACTGCAGGTTAGTGTCGGCCAGTGGCAGCTGTTACATGCATACCATACGATTTCTTTCAGAGATTCACTTAGTTTCCATATTATCAAAACTAATTTTTGTATGCATTGTAGTTAGAATTATTTTTAATAACAAAATATTTACTGGTATAAAATGCTGTGTACACTTGGTTAATTATAATTTAAATTTTAAGAATTTTCTATTCAGTATCATTTTGGAGTCTCTTTAATAGGTATCTAAAGCTGTAGATGTGTGAGCAATGTTCCTCCCTTAAGTACAGCAATGTAAGAAATGGTCTTTTAGGATTTTTTTTTAAGAGGTTATACCCGGCATCTCTAGTACCTCTTCTTTTTTTATTTCTTGACTTCCCTCCAATGTTTCTCTTTCCTGTTTGCCTTTCCCCTTCTTCCCTCCCAGTATCCCCCCCCCCATTTAACCCTTTCCCCTCTCCCCTTAACCCGTCCCTCTCCATCCTCCCCCTTACCCATCTCTCCCTTCCCCTTCTCTCTTACTTCCCCCATTCTTCCTTCCCTCTCGTTTCCACCTTCTCTTCCTCTCCACTACCTTCCCCTTTATTCCCCCCCCCCCCCCCCCCCCCCTCCCCGTTCTCTTCTCACTCCCCCCCCTTCCCCGTTCTCTTCTTACTCCCCCCCTTCCCCCTTCTCTTCTCACCCCCCCCCCCTCCTCTTCGTTTTCCGTTTCCTCTCCTCTGCCATACCCTTTCACTTCCTCACCTCTCCCTACTCTTTCCCTATCCCCCTTCCTTCTCCCTCCTTCCATCCCCCCCCCCCCCTCTTTTTCCTCTTCTCATCCCTTCCCCTCGTCATCTCTATATCTTCCCTGCCTTTTTTCTCCCTCCCTCTCCACTCATCCCCTCTTCTCTCTCCTCTCCTGCTCCGTTTTCCCCTCATCTTTCTTCCCACCCCCCACCTCTTGTCCCCACGTCCCTGTCTCGTCTACTTCCACTCCCATTCTTTCCTTCCCTCCCACCCATCTCATCTCCCCCTATTTTATTCTCGTTCCTTTCTCCCCCTTTTCTTTTCTCTCAATACACTACAGCCAAGAAACTATCGCTAATAATTTTCCTTCTTTGATTTGTCAAAGTAAAAGGATTTTGCCGATTGTTTTTCTATTCCCGATGACTTTTAAGAAATGGTCAAGTTTTCTGAGTAAATTGTCCATATCGAAGCAGAAAGCAGTTCGTCTGCCTAGGGCATTATTGAAGAGTTAATGCTGTTGCATACACTTGTGTTAGATGCATTTAAATCTATTAATACGTTGTGTGTGACATTTTGACCAGACAAATGTTGCCTTTCTGCTAAGCAAGTGTCAGTGTACAGGCATTCATACAGTATCTGCAGGGGTCAGGAACTACTACTATTGTATAACCATATTTTTTGCGGATACTCTTTGCAAGTTATTAGCGAGCAGGCTGATGTACTGGGTTTATTGGAACCTGCGAGAGAGAATGCTAGTGACCCAAATCTTTGGCAGATGGGTTGATTACTGAACCCGGAGCAGTTGCGTTTAATGTGAGGACGCTTAGCTTCCCTTAATTGCTTCGTGCTGTCTTTTGATAATTACTTGCTTAGCAGCCCTCTGCTAAGTCTTTATTTGTGCGTCGTTTCCTGTCCATCTTTGTATTGCTCACAAATTGCACATTTGAAGTATAGTGTCACTCTTTGGTTTTCCTTGACACTCTACTTTGCATAGTCAATAGATCCTCCTCTTTGGTTGACTGCCTTGTCATGTTTGTTACTGCATCTTGAGTTCTTTACTTATTGTTCCTATAGCAGGGAGGTCATCACATTGAAACACTTTTTTTACTCGGTAAAAAAATATAACTACCACCTTTGTTTCTAGAGACCGTTTCACATGGCTGAGAAGTTCTGTGCTTAATTCTTGTCACTTTTTGTGTGTGTAAAAATTTCTAAAGTGGTAGGATTAGCATTGAAATTATCATTTTATAGCCAGAATGACAAATTGTGAAAACAGGTGCTGTGGGCCGAAGTTGATTCAAGGCATTCATTAAGGATAAACTTTGCTGGTATGCATTAGTCATTACCTCTGGCTAATTTGATATTGAAGGTTTTATGAAATTCCTTTTCAACTGGAACCATTTTCTGCAGTAATGTTCCTTGTAGCGATTTCACATTCCATCCTCTTGAAATGATAGTACTGTACTTACAGCAATTATCTGATTGAATGAATAAAAATGGAGTGTTGGACCCCCAAAAAAGGTTCATGTTTCATATTATTGAATTAGCCCTAATGGCATACTAAGAAAATGGAAAGGAACTAAAGAATCTAACCTGTCAAAGCAATCCTAGATTTAATAAAGGTCTATCTTAGGTCTAATAGAGTATATACAGTATGTGCTATACTAGGCCTAGGAATGTTTTAATTTTTTGTATATTTTTACACTCGGTGTATATTGTACACTCAGTTTTTATATATAGGAGCCAATAGTTGCCATAAGTACTATCATTTTTGAAGAATGGGTTGTGATTTCACAAGTTGCTAATGTGATTTCTTTGATTCATGAATTGGATCACATGCAGTATGTTGTATTTAATTCATAAACCTTCACATGAGGTTGTGAGTTATTTAAAAACTGCATAATTTTGCTGTTTCCTGGCTGGCTAGGCATCTTGATGTGTTTGCATCACATATAAAAGCTTACCAACACTGTTGAAAGCTGTCTACTCATCTATGCATATTATTTGGCTCTTTAAATTACAGGTAAAGATTTGATTCGTTGAATGCTCTAGACATGTTGCATTTTCTAATCGGCAGCAGCTTGTATTCGTGCGTTGTCGCAGCATTAGTACAGCATACATAAATTGTTATTACTTTGTAACCAGCATTAGGATCAGTTTCATCACTGAACCAGTGTGTGTGGATATAACCTGCAAGTTTATTATAATTTATATCTGCATTGTAAATTTTAGGTAATTTTTCTTTGTTGACAATCTCCAGTTATGTTTTATACAACTGCTCTTTTGGTTTGATGATAACATGGTGTCTTCGAGAACTTGGTCTCCCAATAGAATAAATGCACAGCATAGTTATATTCATTTTGTAGAAAAACTGACTTTTTCCACAAGACTTTCTTGCACTGGCTTTTTGGCTTTGACTTGTTACTGTCTGCACCGTACATTATGCCCATCTTGCATAATGAGCAGTCTTTAATTTAGACTGATATAGTACTATTGCTTAGACAACATTTTATGGCTTTTCAGTTTCTTTTGGAAAATTTTCAGAATCTTAATTATTTTTTATTCATTATTATTTTTTAGTCTACTTGAAACAGTTGATCACTAAATTGACTCAAATTTCTTAGCGATTGAAAATAGCAAGTTTCCTTTCGACTGTAACACTAAACTTGTGGAAGGTTTGGTAAACACATTACTGTGTTTTGTAAAGATATAGTAGGCAGGTATTGATTATATTGTGCCATAGTGCCAAGGCATGGGCAACAGTTGATTTGTACAGATTTTTTTTTTTTTTTACATCACCCCTTGTCTTCCTGAGAATGTGACTGCGCACATGCCATTTTAAGCTACCTGAGAGAACTATTGCATAGTCCTACCTCAATTCTTGCATCTTGCTTTGTGACTGCTGAAACCCAAAGGTTGGTACACTTCTGCACCATGCAAATAGTGTTAATATCCATGAAATGCAATTACAGTACAGGTACTTTGCAATTAGGCCCGATAAGATTGATCTGCGGATACGCTATCAGCAAATATCGTATGAATGCCTGTATATTTTATTGTGGTGTTGACTGGTTTTTAAATACACAACAGAATAGTTTATTAACTCCAGGATAGTGTTGCTCATCACTTTCTGGGTGCTGCTTATCTACTTTGTGCACTCTTTAAGTATAAACAGTATTGACACTTCATACCTGCTGCTCCATAACTTTTTTTTTTTTTATAAACTTTTGCACTTCTGTTACATCATCCAGCAAAAATGTGTTGTCATTCTTGATGTGTTCTCCATTGAGGAACTGATAGCGAATGAAAATCTTGCTGCTGCTGCTGTGTATCGGTTAGTTAACAGTGGCCAAAAGCTTCTGTCTGTAAGACAACACCCGTCTTGCAACCCATACTCCTGTTTTGGTAGTACTTATGTCAAGGTTGAGGACCATAGTACATATACTCACATACAAACACAATTAGAAAGTAGAAATCAGTATTACTGAATTTGGACAAACCGGAAAATTTTCTACTTACGTTGCAAAGACTAACCTTGCCTTCCTAGGATAGGTTAGGCTATATTAGGCCTCTCACTATCTGAGGCCTAATATAGTACATACATATGCTATACTAGGCCTAGGAATATTTAAGTTGACCTTTTTGCTTAATATTTTTTTTTTTTTTTTTTACTATTAAAAGGTAATAGTACAAAAGTCTACTGTCCAATTGCTTAGTAAATGTTTGTACTATGGTGCACATAGTTACAAAGAGTAGTATCTAAACAGGAGGATGGGTTGTCTTGACATATACTGTTATAGTGAGCTTGTGATGGGGGGCCAACAAATTTGTTTGTGCATTGTCTATGAGAAATGTTGCCTTCGAAGATTCATAAATTTCAGTAGTATTTCTTAGAAAAGTATATCGGAGGATTAGCTCTTGGCAGACTGTTCCTGTAATTTATAAAGGTCACTTTTCTTTATAGTCACGTATTAATTTTAATAATAAAGACAAAGCTAAGTGCACTTTTTTCTGAAATGCGTTATGGCCGATTGGATTGCATGTCGTTATTGCAAGTCCACTCTTGCATTCTCAGTGGTCTCGGTAGAGGTCTGAACAACTGTTTTCACATCTTCCCTGTTTTGGTCGTTGAGATACCAAGTTTTTGAAAACATAATAGTCATTAGTTTTGCAGGGTATATATATACATCTTAGAATTGCTTTAAAAAATATTCTGATATCTTACTTGGGATTTTGATGCAATTACTGCCTCATCGTTGAAATATTCTACATGTTTGAGTGTGTTTTTTGCTACTATTCTTTTGTGTTACCAAATAAAAATTTATTTCAGGTATTTCCTTGGCATGTGCAACACGTGCATTTACTTGTGCTTGCTCTCTTAATGCAGAGTATTAATTGTTAATTAAAATTATAAAATAATGACTTGGCAGGCATGGTGGACACTAAGTGGCTTTTCATACCTTGGGATTCTGTATAGATGTCTAATGTTTCCAGCTGGTTTCAGCCAAATGCATATCATTGTAATTAATAGTTACATGTAACTTCTAGTTTTATAATCGCATCACTAATTTAACTTAAATTGTAAATTTTACCCCCATCTGTCTGTCAGTGCATCTTTTTGCTTAGTGAAAGAAGACTGCACAGACTCGAGGGATGTCATTAAGGTGAAGTTCAGGGTAGAAATAATGCGCGCTTTATTGAAAAAGATGGGTAGAGATTTTAATTCAAAGGATTAATCCTTTTGGGTGGATTAAGCTTATGCTTAATAATTTACCTTTTTTTTTTTAGAAGGAAATAACATTTACCTAGAAAGCAGTTGGAAGATAGACATTACTGGAAGACTTCTTGAGGGGCAATTCTTCACATAGTAAAAACATTAAAAAGCAAATTGAATATAAAAGAAAAAGCTGCCTTCATGCACTCTAGTAATGAAATTAATCTACTGGCTGCTAGCTTTTTGTGACATTTTAAGATGAGGGTTTATGAAACAAATTTTACGACAATTATTCTTTTAAGTTACAAAAGACAATAGAAAACAAAATGTTTTTCATTCTGTATTATAGGAAATTGTTTCTAGACACATTGGCTGTACCAAGTACATGAGGGAAAATGACATTTTTATTGTGATCTTGTAAATTTCATATTCACCTAACATCCTTCCACTTTTTCTTTATCTCCATTATCTTTTGTAAGTTGTTGTAAACATATTGTTCTACAAAAACTTGTGTGTGTAATTTTGCAGTAATCCTACACACATTGATTTTTTTTTTTTTTAGCACACCTACGTGAAATTTTGTTTCCAAATAGTTTGTTCATAATTTTTCTACTTTATTTTCTGATTTGGTACTGTTGTCATGGCCAGAGAAGCTGGCTGGCTCTGGGTTACACCGCCCACTGTAAACTTTTTATTTTGGTATGGGTGACAGGGTGGAACTGTTCTGTGTGCTTTAAAGGTAAATGAGGTAGGGTAGGATAGATGTAAAGCATAAGTGGAATACTATTTTTTTGGCATTCGATCCCCAATTGTCAAGTGGTTGGGAACTTGACCGTCGTCATGTTGCGGTTTCTTTTCCTTGTATTCTTTCCAAGGGGTATATAGCCATGCTGGCCTTTAACTTGAAAAGTTGGTTGGATGGAACTCTTGCACTGGCATAGATTGTCACTAGGTAGTGGACAAGTCATTATTTGCATTATTTTTGGTGGTAGGTCAAGTTGTATTTTTATAATTGGTACTCCTCAAACACTTTCAGCAGGTTAGTTTTTTATGGGGGGGGGTTACTTTGGCGTTGGGTTCGTTTCTGATTCCCTCATGCTTCCTGATTCTTAAACAGGAAGGTGGAATTTGAATTTGCAAACGGTGCTATCACAGTTGGCAGGGTGCCTGGAAATGGCAAGTCTGGTAAGGGCCAGTATATTAGCACAGAAGGAGCTACTGAAGTATCTTAGTCAATGCTCTATACTGTACAGTACAGTATATGGAAATAAACCCATCATCAGAATCTTGAGCAATAATTTTTGTCAGGCCATTCATCTAATTGTCACATTTTGCTCGGCACTTCAGAGACAGCTGATGTTTAAGACCATTGCTGTTTATTGGGCTGTTGTGAACAAAAAATTAATTTTTTTTACTTATTACTGTTGCCTTTCTTATTCACTGTTGGATCCTATCTATTTTCTTGATAAATGTCTTTAAGATTATTCATGTTTTTGTAGGCTTTGAATCCCATCATTTGACAGCTTAATAACATGAGACTATATTTGTTGGTTATGGATACTAGAAATGTTATTGTATTTGTAAGATTCATGCTTTTCACTATTTTTTGTCCCCAAATTCTTAGGAAGAGCTAGGTTTATTCAGTCTTCTGTCCATTATAGTGTCTACCTGCCTACTTTGTGTAGGTTCCAGGGATCAACGGCCCTATGGCCCGGTCTCTGACCAGGCCTCCCAGTTGGTCAACCAGGCTGTTGGATGAGACTGCTCGCAGCCTGACGTATGAATCACAGCTTGGTTGATCAGTGTTGTGCCAGTATTTTCATGCCTCGCAACATATTGCCTCAGCATTGGTTTTATTCTTTAGTCTTAATGACACGGTTGGTGCCTTGTAAGATGGAAAGTTCTCAAAGTTGCTACACAGTTCATGCCAAGGTAGCACTTGCATGGCTTTCTTTCAGATGACACTCTTCGGGAAGGCATTCCTCATGTTGCAATGATGAGCAGTCTTTGAGGCCAAGTAGCATTTCACATAGTTTTCAGCCTGCAGTAGTTAAATAAGCCTTCTCAAAGTCATTCCCTTTTGGATTAAGAATTATTCAGTTTCCCTTATACTGGAATGACTCTATAGAGATGTCTGAAAAGCTGCACGATGTGATGTCAACCTGCCTGGGCTGCCCAATAAATTTTGAAATTGAAGAATTATAAGGCAAATGAGAGGAGAATTAATAGCCAAGAAATGTACACAAGCCACAATTTTTCACATCACTCATTAAGAAGTGAGAAGCAAACATCATAACACTATAGAACAGGGTACATCTGTCAACACAAGAGGCATTAAGAGGTGAAAATGAAGTACACGAAGAGTCTGGAAAGAACCGAGCCATTTAAGACTAGATAGTAACAACTGACCATCTGATAGTGTTGCATAGTCACTTAAAGAAGAAAACATCTGTAATGCTGTAAATTGTGCACTTTTGTTAAGAAGACTAGGAAATATTCTCGTGGATAGTGAGTATGCGAGAAATTTTCTAATGACATTGATATAGGTAAGGAAGCACCAAGCAAACAGGAATGAAGAGGTTGTCATAGAAAGGATGTAACAAGCCAGGTCCCTTAGGCTTGGTTCTGGCCCTGATGCTGTTCCTAATCTGTTTGTAACTTGTAATATTTGTACTTACTAATGTTTGAAAATTGCAATTCAAATGAGCAGAGTATGCACTGAAGTGGCTCATAGTGTACTGCAGGAAGACCTCCACAAAACTACAGGAGGGAACAACTGAATATTTTCCAAGAATTTAACCCTAGAAAAATGTTAGGTAATTAAAAAAAGGAATGAAAGAGATGGGAAAGAAGCTACACCACAAGTAGTAGGAAACTGCAGAAAGATATAATTACACTAGAAAAACTAGTCACCCCCTACAGCCCCCCCCCCCCTCCCTCTACCCTACAGCTGCGTTTTATGTGCCAGTGTGTTATTGTGGCTGACTCGGTGACCTCATTGCTCTTTGAGTCATTTAACCTGTCCATCCTGTGGTTGCTGAAATCGACTACTGGTTGTTTCTCATAATTAGGAGATTTTAAACAGTCAAATTTTGCTGGGTACCCAGTTAGGTGGATTTTACCTCGAGTGAACTTGCCGATACTGTTGATAGTGAGAGCTTTTCTCATCTCCCAACAAGGGATTCCTTATTCTGGTTTCCATCCAAACATTCATACTGCAATTTGCACAATTTATGGTTGGGCATTTCAGATAACAGTACTTTTAAATGTGACCCATCTGTCCTGATTTTCAGCACGATCGAATGACTTTGTTTCCTAAATCCTTTACTTCTCGATAGAATTTTGTGTGAATCTGATGCCTTTAACATCTCTCATCATGTAAATTTGCTCTCATATTTACATCCAAGTGATAATTAGAACTTTCAAATATCCCACAAAGACAGTGCTACATAGTTTCCCAGCTTAGTGACTTGATAATTACTTAACCTCCATCCATTCCTTCAAGAGCAAATACAGTATAACTAATAGAACGACAAGAAAATATAAACCACGCCAGATATAAATAGTTAACAGCCAAGTGAATTTAAAATAGGATACTACTTTGAGAACATGAACTCTTGGAAAATTATATGGCTGATAAAATATTTGGCATCCAATTTTTTGGTTTTATAAAGTTCCTTGAAGGTCTTGAAATACAATTACACAGTTTGTAGGATATTTGTTTATTTTATGTAGTACACAGCGTTATGTTAATCAACTCTGCCATATACCTATCACCACATGATCAAACATTTTTAATTTCTTGGTTTATTGGTATGCCAAATTCCATTCCAAGCTGTAAGTACGTAATGTAATAATTGGTTATATTTATTTGCCTGCATTTTTACAGATGAACATTTCCAGACAGATTTCATGTTTAATATACCACATCCTCCCCCCTCTCTTCAGGTTTTTCCATGTTTCAAAGGAAGATGAAGCAGTATACAGGGCAACTGGAGAAATTGCTCCACTGGTGGTGGACCAAGCGGTGCGCAAAGCTTTGTTCCTGGATGTGGCTCTTACAGGCACTAGGCCCACCTGCAAGGTTAGTAAGCATGCTATAGCATTATTACCTGTATTTGTCACTCGTAGAGATAAGTGTTTTGAGAAACTGTTCCATGAAGTTCGACTTTTAATGCCATGCTGCCAGAAAGTTTTTTTCTTCTTTTAACTCTTAACTTTTAACTTCTTTTAACTTTAACTTTAATTTTTGTATTATTATTTGTTTGGTATGAATGATACACTACCTGTACAACTTCTTGCAAGTTGGGATTAGTTTGAATTGTTTACACTCCCAATAACTAGACTTAAGTGTTCATTTGTTTGAATCCTTGTATTTGTATGACCCATTTTAGTTGGCTGGTAGTGTCACTTCTCATTTCATTGCTTGCATTTTCAAACAAAATTAAATTGTACGATCAGTTCAAGTGCCTTTGGAATTTGCATGTATTCAAACACCAACCCTCACAGCTCCACTCCCCACCACACAACCTCCAGCCCATACCCAAGTCCTCAAATCTCTAACCCATCAAACTTCCCAATCCTCCAACCCCCCCACTGTACTCCAATCCCCACCACATCAGTTGATTGACAGTTGAGAGGCAGGACCAAAGAGCCAGAGCTCAACCCCCACAAGCACAACTAGGCGAGTACAATCTTTCCACCCTCATCCCCCCCCCACCCCCCCGTGCCCACACTCGATACCCCCCTAGCTCACACCACAATTACCCAGACCCACAGGCACACGCCCCCAACCCACAGGCACACGCCCCCGACCCTCAATTCACATATGTAGCAGTGTGGATAAAATATTCAATGATTTTCATTTAAATTTCATATTTTCCAGGAATTCCTGAAAGGAATATGCACAATGCAAAATTGTCGTTTTCGCCATCTAAACCAACGGGAATATGAAGATGAAGTCTTTCGTGCCTTGCAAGAAGAGTTCGAGATTGTTTTGGGGCCTCCAGAGCAACGTCGATCACCTTCACATCAAATTCTCTTGGGCTCCCTGAACAGTTTTCTTGACCCACCAAAGTATGGTACACCTTCATTGGACTTCCGTGATGATCTACTACCTGCTGATGACCTGCGCACAGCTCTCTTATCCCATACAGATTATGAACCAGATGCCAAGAGGCCAAGGTACTTTCCTGATGAGCCATTGTTTTCATCAAGAGATGAATATGGAGACACTCACAGGCGATGGGATGACAGAATGGACCTTGATCAAGACACACTTGAAAGGGAAAGAATTGATCGGGAGAGAATTGAACTGGAAAGACTTGAGCGAGAGAGAATGCAACAGGAGAGACTAGAGCGGGACAGACTTGATTTAAATTTAACTGAAACGGAGAGGATGATGCAAGAAATGTACAATCTGAGAAATGATAATTTAGACCTGAGGAGAAATTTGGAACAAAAGATTGGTGACCTTAAAGATGAACTCAGATCTGTAATGCAAGAAAATGCAAGTCTGCGACATGAAAATACAAAGCTCCAAACAGCTGCTAATGAAGATACTATGGTACACAAAACTGCTATAGAAAAGCTTAAGATTGCAAACAATACATTATCTGAGGAGAGCAGGAATGCTCAAGAACTTGCTCGTCGACTGGAGATGGAGAACAATGTGATACGTAAGGCTTTAGAAGTTAAACAAAAAACTAATAATGCTCATTTAGAGAAGAGATTGGATACACTGGAAAAAGATAATATCCAAATCCAAGATGCATTAAATAAGGCCAATGCTAATATGAAAAAGATCCAAGAAGAAAAGATTAAAATAGAAAATGAGTTGTCAGACTTCAGGAGAAAGTCTCGTAATCAACCATCTGGAGGGAGGAAAGATGGACAGCAAAACAATTCTGGCTTTAACCAAAGGAATGATTACTCCAGAGACACGGTAAGAAACTTTTTATTTTTTTATCTTTCCTTAAGCCAATGAATGAAGAACTTTCTAAAGACTTTTTGTTTAATTTAATATTTCATTCTTGGAATGCTAAGTTATTAACATTATTGCCTAAATAATAGTTGCCTGACTAAAACTTTTCTTTGAGAAAATTTATTTTCCAGTGAAGTGTAATTATTTTATGCTTTTTGTAGGTATTTCCAAGCCACTCAATTACTGTTTACTTGCAACGCTTTTAGAGTGTCTCTTTCCACAGGTGGGAAAAAATCGACAACAGATGGGAATTTCAGACTCTATTCTGGATAACAGGATGGACCAGGATATGCAAGGTTCAAGTGGAAATGCACGTGGTACAGGTAGGTATGGTACAGGTACATGGGTAACGCAGGGCAAAGGGCAGTACAATACAGGTTATAGTTCAAGAGGTCAAGACACTCGTAGTTCAGATGTGCAAGGGCCAAATACGTGGCAGGAAGCAGATCAGTCTCTCGCGTGGGGAGCTGGAGGTGCTCCACAATCTTGGGCTGACCTCAAGAATCAAAATGCCTCTGTTCCATCAGCTGATACAGGTCTTTCCAGGGGTCAGGGTCAGGGACTTCTTGGGGAGTATCAGCCTGTGGATGATCGCATGAGACAACAAAATTCCTCTGCTTCACGTGGAACTGGTTATCAAACTGCTCTAGGAGCTTCTGGAATGTCAAACATGCAAGACTATGGGGACCAGTCACATTCACAGGGATCTGCACGAGGATTTAAGGACACTCTCCAGACAGGAAACCAATATTCAAGTCAGAGCTCTTCACGCTTTGATGGAAGAGATTATGGTCTGTCTGGTTACGACAACGAAACCAGAAAGCCGTATGGGGCTGGCAACCGTTCTTTAAATTCCTCTTCGCATTGGATGTCGGGTGGATCAAGTGACACTGGAGATGGAAGAGGTAAAGGAAATAACCAGTCTTGGAACAGGAAAGGGAAGAATTACTAATTAAAAGAAACAAAAATTCTTTTAAGGTTTTGGAAAAATTGTTGTAAATATTCTCTTTCAAGAATACTGTCTTTTGTTAATTTAAGTGAATGGTCTTCAGAGCCCTTGACCATTGAAACCTCATTCAATGACCAGATATTTTAAATAACGCACATTATGAGTTGCAGCATTTTATTGGCATATATACATTGCATATTGTTACTCTAATGCATGATTACCCTGAAACAATATAGCTGGAAGTTGACCAAGTATCTTTCTTGTTCTTTATTGTAAATATTGATATTAAATAATTGTAATTCATACAGAGGATGCCAGCTCCCGTATTCCAACTATGCTATCAACACAATTTTTTTAACTAAAGTGAAAGTGAATAATCTATCAAATTAGTGAACAGTTCATTGCTGCACTTGATTTATTAAGTCAATTCTAAGTTAATTGTTTTCTTGCAAATCTTGTAGCTTTATAAATTTTGTAGATCTAAGAAAGTAACAAGCTTTACATATCTTGTGGCCTATTATGCACTGCTCTATATTAATTATATTTACTATGTAAACCACAGCAAGCTTATGCTGGGAATAGATTCAATGTTCCTGAATCTTTATTAAAATAATTGAAAATTTAAAGCTGTACAATAGGATAGCAGTCGTGGTAAAAATACTAATTTGACTATACAACAAAAACAATAATTACCCAAACTCAGTACATGTGTGTGCAATTAAATAAAAACATTTAAAAGTTGCTTGCCATTTTTTAAATTGTAATTTTTTTTCTTAGGCCTTCATACTCGTATGAAGCATCCTCAGTTCTGATAGAAATTAATAATTTGTTTTAATTTTGGTGACCAGAGTACTACAGGTAGGAGTCCTGCAGCTTAAGTGCATTTGAAGGTTCCATGGTTTTTAAGTACAGATGTGTTTTTGGGAATTTGCCTAGAGCACGAAGAGGTGGGGCAGATTTCCTCGATTTTATTTATTAGAATTAAATATGCATAAATCTTTGGTTTAAAAACTTAGTTCATCCTCACGTTTACAAAATCTTCAAATGAGAGCGTTGATATCCTTGTTTTGTGCTTATGTGGAAAACATGATATGGATATTGTGTTTAGCATGTTAGTTATTTGTATGTTTGTGTGCATAATGTAAGACTACAACACTATTTACAAGTACAGTATACCATGTTTGTAAATGATAAGAAATAATGGTTTTATTACAAGCCTGTACAAGTATCTGTAAGGTGATTGATCCCAAACTGAGTATCCTAATTGCTAAGATAACCAAAGAGGGCATAGTGTGTGGCATCTGTTAAGTCCTCCAAGGTTATTGCTTGAGCAGCAGCAGCAGCATCTGTTGTGTCAGGTGTTATTGTCATTGTATTGGAATAAATGTTTAGAGTAAATAGTGTGTTTTTTTTTTTGTTTCTCCTTATTTTCTGTAGTGAATTACATCTTTACAATTCAGCTGCGAAGGTATAACCCCACTCATTTTGTGTAAAGGTGGCGGTGGTAGTATTCGTTGGCGTTTGTGATGTTTGAAAAATAGCTTCCTTTTAGATTATTTTCCGAATTTAATCTTAAAAATGTTTCACAGTACTCTTCTGTAATATACAGAACTGGCATTATCTCTACAGCAGTTATATGCCATACTCCAAGCAGTAAAGAATAATGTCAATCACACCTCGCAATTTTTATTGACTTGAGCTCGCCTACTTCAAGAAAAGTTTGGTTTTCGGCCAACTGTGGGTAGTACAAGATATAATGTGAGTTTGAAGCAATGTAGGAAACTATGAGGATGAAATTGGGTACTTTTTGATTTTCCTTTTTTTGAACAGGGACCCCTAGTGGTTGGACATTTTTTTTTTCATTCATCAGGGAGTTCCAAAGACTGAGGCCCTTTTATTTGCATTGAGTGTTTGCACAGATTTGGTCTGATTGGGGGTATCGGATATATTAATTTCTGGTGTGGTGCTCATGGGTTCTATTACACCTATCAAGGAAAAGTTTTAAATCAAGATTAGCATTTAGGAACAAGGTTTTGTACATGCCGATAGCATATGAGTGTGGAGTGATTTGGGATGGGACGAGGGAGTATGTTTAGCATGTTAATTAAGGGACTTAAACAGACGGGATGTGTGTTGTCTAAAGACAGTTTGTTATAGTTCTGATAGCGGATTTTTGCTGCGTGATGACAAGCTTGAGGTAATTTGCAGTGGTTGAATCCCATGCAGAAGGCGAGATTGTAAGATTGGGATAGTACGTAGTATAATAAGTGGGGAACATATCTGATTTTAGAAAGTATACTGACCGTTTTTGAGACATTTTTTGGCTGTGTTGTATGTGGGTGCTAAAGTTCTCTGTCTATGTATAGCCCCAAGGAACTTCCCTCATTTTTATTGGTAATGTTAACATTGTTTATCTGATTTGATGATTTACAACAAAATAAAATGAAGTAGATCTTTTCTGTGTTTAGTGTTTGTTGGGTGACATCCATGAGTGGACTTCATTTTTTGTTCATTGTCGACAGTATTTAGTTGTGGTCAGAATAGATGGAGCTAGTATCGTCAGCAAATAATATAGATTTAAGAATGTTAGAAACATTTGGCAAATCATTGCCAATCAGTGATGTATATAAGAAATAGGAGAGTCCCAAAGATGCTGCCCTGTGACAACCCTACTGTCAATGGTAGAGTGTGGGAGGTTATGCTCTTGATGGCTGCATATGTGTGTCACTTGAGATAAGAGCGAATATAGTCCAGAGCAAGGCCTCGGATACCATAGTGGTGAAGTTTCAGTAAGAGGTAGTTATGGTTTACAATATCAAAGGCTTTTCTCGAGTCAGTGAAGAGGCCAACTGGGAACTCGTTTTTGTCATGGGCTGTGTAGATTATATTGAACAGATTTTTCTATCCACTGTGACCTCCACCTTTAGACCCCATCTTTCTTCTCATCCCTCCCCCGTCTATGGCCCTCTGCAACAGATGTCCGCCAAGGCCGATATCCATTGTCTGCTCTCCCTCTCCGCCTGAGACTGAAGGCTGCCCTATAGTATATTGCTACTGGTACGTTTCTGTCTGAAACGTAAACCTGGTGCCTCTTCCTCATCAGCGAGTTAAAAAGCTTTGTACAAATCCCTCTCCCGCTTACCACCTCTGGCTCTGACCCTGTCTCCTCCCATCTCTGTGGCGGGGTCAACTGACCTTGTCCCTGGAAACACAAACCGAAACTTTATTTTCCGCTTGTTACAACTTGTAATAAAGTTGTTACATCTTGGCTTAACGTGTTTATGACATATTAGAACGTTGTTACAACTTCCTGTATTGGCTGTTATAACTGGTTAGGTGTTAAAACTTGTTCGAACGTTGTACCAACGATGTAGTTTCGATGTGCGTTTGGCCGGGTGGAACTTCCCACGAGCCTTCATTTCCCCTTTGGTGCTGTCTTTTCTTCAAGTGCTCTCTGCCGTTTCTGTCCTTGACTGCCCCTACCTGGTACCGCCTCACACTGAACGAAGTCAGTTCATCTCCGCCCCTTCCCACTACTCTCTCGACTCTACCTTCTTTGCTAAATTTACATAGCCCCCCCACCCTGATTACTCTGAACCTGATCCTAGTATAGTGTTTTTTTCTCTGCCTTGGTTTTTTCTCTTTATTATCTCTTATTGACTGTGTGTGTATTCTTCAGTGTATTATACATTGTTTTTATGCAAATTTCCACGAATTCCAACTTCTGATCTCAAGAGAGTTTTCACCACTTTGTGTATGTCTCTAGTAGCCGTTGTTGGGGCTCGCCCTACGGTTATTCCTTTCTCTCATCATCTCCAGCTCTCTTGGTCCGGAATGATGTTCACTTTGCCCTAATATTACAGTCGAACACTCATCTGGGGTCAGCTCTGCCTCAGGCGCAGGGATATATGCCCACAGGTATACCCAGTTCCTTGGTGTATATACACGGAAAGTTTACCTTTAGTCGTGGATTGTTCAGAACTAAAGTATGTTTGCCGATTGGTCAGTAAGCATTTGTGGTGGCCTTAACAACCCTCCAGGAGTTATGTTCAACACCAGAGGTTGATAGGCCTTAACCCCAACACCACCAGAGGTTGATAGGTCTTAACCCCAACATCACCAGAGGTTGATAGGGCTTAACCCCAACACCACCAGAGGTTGATAGGCCTTAACCCCAACACCACCAGAGGTTGATAGGCCTTAACCCCAACACCACCAGAGGTTGATAGGCCTTAACCCCAACACCACCAGAGGTTGATAGGCCTTAACCCCAACACCACCAGAGGTTGATAGGCCTTAACCCCAACACCACCAGAGGTTGATAGGCCTTAACCCCAACACCACCAGAGGTTGATAGGCCTTAACCCCAACACCACCAGAGGTTGATAGGCCTTAACCCCAACACCACCAGAGGTTGATAGGCCTTAACCCCAACACCACCAGAGGTTGATAGGCCTTAACCCCAACACCACCAGAGGTTGATAGGTCTTAACCCCAACACCACCAGAGGTTGATAGGCCTTAACCCCAACACCAAGCCGAACCTGTCCAAGATTTGGCTTGGGCAGGTTTCCTTCATAATGAGCTGAGAGTCGGGTGTAAAATAGTTAACACACTTAAGCCAGGCATATTATTAATCAGCCCGTGAGTGTGGACAAAATAATGTTCTCGTGCTAGTATAGACACTTACTAAATAAGTGATAAATTAGGAGCGGGAGGCGCTAGGTAAATAAACATACACAGCACTATGAAGTATGCTGTTCATCTGGTGAACAGGTGATATATTACCACACCTCTTGTCAGAGGATCAATGCACAATATTTACATCCAGCAAAATTGAAATAAAAGTTGCTCATGAACTTATTCTCTACGAAAAGTAAACCGTTCAATATACTGTAACTGTCAAATATAATATTATGTAGACAACAATGAACTTGTTTACACTGTTAAGACAATATTGGTGGCGAGACGCAGAATAAAGATGTAAATACGAGGCTACGAGCCCCGTGCTGTGACTCACCCTGTGTGACCGTAATTATGTTGGCGAGGCTTCACGAGTTATGCCTGTGAGGGCTTTTATAGTGCGTGTGTACATGCGGGATGCGCATGTGTTTATATATTTACTGCATGCATTAATAACCACCAATCATATTTAAACTCATTAAAATCTGCATAAGCCGACGATGAGATCCCGAAGTTAAAATTCCCCCTCGACTGTGACTCAGCGAGCGAGGATCATCCGACCACTCCCTCACTCTAGCCACTTACTAGACACATCTATATAATATTCTCCTTCTCACGCTCATAATGTTCTTCCACGCTGCATCCCGGAAGCCCCAAAAACTAATTAAGGACTAACTCTGACAATCAAAATATCTTGGAGTCACAAAAGTAGGCGCGTCCGAGGCTGAGCAGGTCCGATGAAATCTTGGTGTGGTGAGAATATTGAGCTCCTGGAGGCCACAAGATGGCTGGCCGTCGTGTCTTAACATTCCTCCAGGGACGTGAGGTGAAAACGGCAAACTAAGGAGAAAGAACCCCGCCCCTCGATAGCAGATGGATCCTAGTTTCACCGGGATTAAAGCCTGGAATGCCGGGACAGCGGGTGTGGTAGCGGTAATGAGGAGGGTGGGCCTTCCCTCATCTGGCACTGAGGCTTCCAGTCCTCCCTACGACCTGTGGGTTAGGCCCCCAGGCGCCCCTCCACCACCACCAGCCCTCGCCCTTACGACGCTGGGTGGTGAGGGCCGCAGTAGTCGAAGGACAGGGCGCGGGTTAGGGCTGAAGGGCACGCGCATGTCGGAATGGCAGCCCCATAATACACCGGTGACCTTTACTGAAAACGGGAATCAGAGTCTTATTGGAATTCCTCTGCGGGAACAGCCGGCTTGAAGTTTAGAAATTTTCAGGAAATTTGTGATGAACGATCGCATTCTCCTTCCTCTTCCAGGGATGAGTAGAAGCATGCACTTTAAAAGTGCTACCTGGAGAATATAAGCAAAGCGAGTATCCATCTAACTTATCAGTGATCAAGACAAAATATACAACGAATAAAAATCGCTCTTGTGTTAAATATAAAGAGTACATAGGTACAGACTAAGCAGGTGGACTAGGTAGCCAAGGCTCAAGGCTAGGCTACCCTGTCACCTGCCCTGCGGCCGCCTCCCCGCCAGCCTCCTCGACACGCCCTAAGAAAACTAGGAAGTAGAAGAGACCTCGACGACTCTTCTTAGGTAAACTCTAAGGAGGAACCTGCTTGTGGAGGAGACTCATGATATAATTGGACTTAGCAAGGAGACTGTCTCACAATGCAGACTGACAAGACTCACGATATGGACTCACAAGAGTCTCGCCAGAAAGACCCAAGAGGAGTACCACAGGAGAGCCACTAGAGGAACG